CGAGCAACACTCTATGCGTGAGAGAATGGGTTTGTGCATTAAGGAACTGAGAGGAGAAAAGGTGGAACAGGCTAAGGGGGAATCAGGTAATGGTCATTGAATGGCAAGATGAGGAATTTGGATTTGAATTACCATGTAGAACATTGTTCTTGGAGCTATACAAAATAATTTTACATAGTTGTCTTCTCTACCCAGTAGCCTTTAAAAAAAGGACACTAGGCCAGGTGCAGTGGCTTATGCCTGTAACCCCAGCATTTTGGGAGGCTGAGGCAGGTAGATCACTTGAGGCCATAAGTTTGAGACCAGCCTGGCCAAAATGGAGAAACCCCATCTCTATTAAAAATAGGAAAGCTAGCCTGGCATGATGGCTGGTTCCTGTAGTTCCAGCTACTCAGGAGGCTGAGGTGGGAGAATCACATGAGCCCGAGATGCCAAGGTTGCAGTGAGCTAAGATCATACCATACCTCTGCACTTCAGTTTGGGCCACAGAGCGAGACCCTGTCTCAAAAAAAAAGGAAACTAAAGAGTTTATTTTCATTTCCTGATTGTGTTATCTGAGAGAGAGAGAGAGAGAGAGAGAGAGAGAGAGAGAAATAATGTATATATAAATGTTTAATTTATATAATTAAATAAATATATAAAATGTACATTTACATATAAATAAAATATATAAACAAATATATATTTTATATATTTTAATTATATACATTAAATATATATTTTTTGAGATGGAATCTTGCTCTGTCACCCGGGCTGGAAGGCAGTGGCTCGATCTTGGTTCACTGTAACTTCAGTCTCCCGAGTAGCTGGGATTATAGGAATGTGCCACCACACCCGGCTAATTGTTTGTATTTTTAGTGGAGATGGAGTTTCACCATGTTGGCCAAGCTGGTCTTGAACTCCTGGCCTCAGGGAATCCAGTCACCTCGGCCTCCCAAAGTGCTAGGGTTACAGGCGTGAGCCACCACGTCTGGCCTATCCCAGATATATATTAATGTTCACTGCTATCTATTACAAAACAGAGAAAGAAGAATGTGAATATTATAGTGTAACCAACTTTAATCCAAGGCCAAGTATAAATAGTAAATTAGTATTTGAATACATATTTTATCCATATGTATTATTTGGCATTCTAAGATCTCTGAGATCAAGACGTTCTTAACGTTTACTGTCATCCAAGTAGCAGATGTGATGTTGTCATTGTCTGCACTTATATGGACTTGGTCATAGCTGTTACTATTGTCATAACAACAGTTGACAGTCAAATTATATGTACGGTTACTACCACACGGTTTACTTGCCATTTCACATGTCACTTAAAAATTTACACTGTGATCCAACATTGAAATGAAAATAAAACCAAAAAAAAAACCACAACCAAAACGGCTGTGTATGAAGAAGGGCATGGAAGCAGAATGGCAGGATATAAACTTGATTTTGTATGAAGCCAAATATTTTCCTTTGGAGGAATGTTTGCAGTTTTAGATTTTCTTGCAAAACTATACCTGAGTGCTTTATGCAACCCAGAAGGAAAGATAGCCATAGATGTATTAAGCTGTGTTAAGTTTTGTTACTTAGAAACATGTGAAAGAATTGCCCATAACATGCCAGACGGTGCACCTGGAAGCAGGGGAAATTGCTGTATTCCTCAACATAAATGAAAAAGTTCAGAGCTTTAAGAAGCTAGTGTGACTGATTTATATGTCTCCTAGGACTGCCATTAAGACATTGTGTCATAGTGTAAGTGGCAGCAGTTTTCCTTTCTTTGTAACTGATGCCACCTTAGATTTAGTCAAATTTAATATTTACCTCTCTGCTTCTGATGATAGCTGGTTTAGAACACATTGCACTACTAAGTTGTCAAACTTGTGATTGTATAAAGGCAGGCAAAAATTTTAAATAAATTTGTTAAGGTGCAAAGATCAAGATCAAAATGTAAGAATAGGCTGGGTGTGTTGGCTCACACCTGTAATCCTAGTACTTTGGGAGGCTGAGGCAGGTGGATCACTTGAGGTCAGGAGTTTGAGATCAGCATGGCCAGCATGGTGAAACCCCGTCTTTACTAAAAATACAAAAATTAGCCGGGCATTGTGGTAGGTGCATATAGTCCCAGCTATTTGGGAGGCTGAGGCAGGAAGATCACTTGAACCTGGGAGGTGAAGGTTGCAGTGAGCTGACATCATGTCACTGCACTCCAGCCTGGGCGACAGAGTGAGAAATAAATAAATTAATTTAAAACAATGTAAAAATACAAGAATAAAATATTTGCATTTTTTTTGCATTAGATATTCTTGCCTTTTTTTGTGTGTGTCTTCTGAGATACAGCGTGGTATGGTGCATCCCTTGTTAGCAGTAGCTTTGTGTAAAATTACTTAGCCTTTCTGTGCCTCAGCTTTGTAGGACGGGCATAATATCTATTGTCACAGGTCTGTTACGAGGGTTCAATGAGTTAAATTATTTAACACATGCCAAGTGTTTTTTTTTTGTTTTTTGGTTTTTTGGTTTTTTTTTTTTTTTTTTTTTGAGACGGAGTTTTGTGCTTCTTGCCCACGCTGGAGTGCAAGTGGCACGCCTCCTGGGTTCAAGTGATTCTCCTGCCTCAGTCTCCTGAGTAGCTGGGATTACAGGCATGTGCCACCATACCCGGCTAATTTAGAATTTTTAGTAGAGACGGGGGTTTCTCCACGTTGGTCAGGCTGGTCTCGAACTCCTGACCTCAGGTGATCCACTCACCTCAACCTCCCAAAGTGCTGAGATTACAGGCGTGAGCCACTGTGCCCTACTACGTGCTAAGTGTTTATAGTAGCACCTGGCTAAAAGTAAGCAGTGTATGTTAGCTATTACTTTTTATTGGGATTATTTTCTGTGAGTCATAAATGCTAATTGTTATATAGAGTAATTACCAATGAAGATGTGGTTATCCCATTGTTACCTTCTTGACGCTAGTTTGGTATTAATATGCTACTCATTCCCCCTCTCAATTATTCCACCCTTTTTTGGGGTGTATTGATGTTGATCTTTTAGAAAATTATGTGTGATTTATATGAGATACATAGATTCATACCACTTTGGTATAGTTGGTACAGTAAAATGGGAATTACAATTAGTTTGGAAAAAAATAATATTTAATTTTTCTAAAAATTACATGCTTGCGATTTTAGTTTTTGCCAAGGCTGACTCTGGATACCTTTTAGTTTGATAATCAACTCTCCCAGTGCACAGGCAGTGACTGGATTTGACAAGACTCATAACCTGAAAGTCTGATGGTCTCAGCAGGGTAGGGTTCCATTTCTAGCCTATGACTATAGCCTATGACTACAGCAGAATGACTGCTGATGCTTCTTCGAGGACTTTAGAGAGATGTTTCAGTTAGTTATTTCTAGTTGTGTGATACTTTAGTGTTGCATTGGGCCCTCAGCTGTTGAAGAACATAAGATACTGTTTCTCTTACAGCTGGGAGAAAATGTAGACTATCTCTCTGAGACATATTACTAACTTAATTTAAGCATAATCTTAGGCATAGTATAAATTAGATTTCTTGCTGCTGAATTAATTTTGAACTACTTTGTTTTCAACATTCGTCTATAAAGATCATTGTATCTCAAGTTGGGCCAGCCAGTTGTTTAGATTGAGCTGTACTTGCAAATCAGTGTTTTGTATTTTGTCTTTGTGCAAAGCAGTTTAAAATGATAGGGTGAAGATGTTAAGGCTGAAGGGGTTGTAAACTGATTCTGTATTAGCTGGAAGTTAACAATTTAGGTTTTTTCATGATTTAGATTAATGAAGAGAAAACATTTCATACTTTATACTCTGGAATTATTTAATAATTGAGAAAATTCTAGCCTTAGCTGTACTTCTTTTTAAATAAACCCAAAGTTTTAAATATGTTGATGTTATCATTGGTTAATTACATGATTGGAAACTTACTGTCAGTGAAAAATGATACACACTAATGGCATGTGCAAGAAAGCTTAAAATAGCACATCTTCATGTCCATACAAATTCCCTGGTCTCCTTATATGACCTACTTAATGCATTGCCTACTGAAAGAAAAACCTGGGGAACTTTAAGTGTTCGTTAAGGCTAGAATATTACATTTAAATGTTTTATATATTTGTAGTTTTACTGTCATCTCATTTCTTTCATAAGTATGAAAGGTATTTATGAATTATTGAACTTTTTGAACTTTTCGAAGAGAAATAGATTTGGCATTTCAGAATGTGTCTGATAGTCAATACCTTGTTACTTGGAGCTTGTTCATTCTTTTTTTTTTTTTTTTGAGACGGAGTTTCACTCTTGTTACCCAGGCTGGAGTGCAATGGCGCGATCTCAGCTCACCGCAACCTCCACCTCCTGGGTTCAGGGAATTCTCCTGCCTTGGCCTCCTGAGTAGCTGGGATTACAGGCACGTGCCACCATGCCCAGCTAATTTTTTGTATTTTTAGTAGAGATGGGGTTTCACCATGTTGATCAGGATGGTCTGGATCTCTGGACCTCGTGATCCACCCGCCTCGGCCTCCCAAAGTGCTGGGATTACAGGCTTGAGCCACCGCGCCCGGCCTGTTCATTCTTAAGAGTAAAAAAAAATGCAGGGCTGGGTGCAGTGGGTCACGCCTGTATTCCCAGCACTTTGGGAGGCTGAGGCAGGTAAATCTCGTGGTCAGGAGATCAAGATCAGCCTGAACAACAAGGTGAAATCCCATCTCTACAAAAATTTGGTGGGCGTGGTGGCCCCTGCCTGTAATCCCAGCTACTCAGGAGGCTGAGGCAGGAGAATTGCTTGAACCCGCGAGGTGGAGGTTGCAGTGAGCTGAGATAGCACCACTGCACTCTAGGCTGGGTGACAGAGCAAGACTGTGTCTCAAAAAAAAAAAAAAAAAAAAAAGCAAGCCTTAGGGCTGTTTATCCAAGATGCTTTCTTTTACTTACTCTTTAAATGTACCCAGGTTTACTTTTTGACTGACATGTTTGTGGTTTTTTTGTTTATTTTGCAAATATAGAGCTGCCAAATGCTGTTAAATCAACTGAGAGAAATCACAGGCATTCAGGACCCTTCCTTTCTCCATGAAGCTTTGAAGGTTGGTTTCCAGATCTTTGTTAGTTAGGAGGTTTTAAAGCAGCTAAACAGCTGCTGTTTGGGTGTTGTGGGAAGTCAGAGCATGGAAGCTCCCTCCTGTAATGAGGTGTTTGATAGATTAGATGCTTTGAGCACATTAGACCTACTGTCCACCAGTCTCATAATTCTACCCTAGAATTCTGCCTAAAAGTACTCAGTGTGTCACCAGGGTAGTATGGAGTTAATACTCAAAACTAGTTTTAAATTCTATGATGATTACTTTTGAAATTTTCTTTTCTCTTTCTCCCATAGGCCAGTAACGGTGACATTACTCAGGCAGTCAGCCTTCTCACTGATGAGAGAGTTAAGGAGCCCAGTCAAGACACTGTTGCTACAGAACCATCTGAAGTAGAGGGGAGTGCTGCCAACAAGGAAGTATTAGCAAGTAGGTTCCGGATATCCTGTCTTGGCCCTTTGCTGAACTAGCAGAAAATAAGAAACCAAGTGTATGTGAGTTCCCTGTTAATCACATCAGCCCCTTGAAAATAATAGTAATAATAGCTTATTACTGAGCCATTGCTGTATGGCAGGCACAATTCTAAACACTTAAAAAATTTCATTCGTGGCCGGGCACGGTGGCTAACGCCTATAATCCCAGCACTTTGGGAGGCCGAGGCACGTGGATCACGAGGTCAAGAGATCGAGACCATCCTGGTCAACATGGTGAAACCCCGTCTCTACTAAAAATACAAAAATTAGCTGGGCATGGTGGCGCGCGCCTGTAGTCCCCGCTACTCGGGAGGCTAAGGCAGGAGAATTGCTTGAACCAGGAGGCGGAGGTTGCGGTGAGCCGAGATCGTGCCATTGCACTCCAGCCTGGGTAACAAGAGCGAAACTCCGTCTCAAAAAAAAAAAAAAAAAAAATTTCATTCGTTCATTTACTCATTGTTTAGCATTTATTTAGTGAGGACCAACTATGTGCCAAGCAGTCTTGAATCCCTGCCCACATGTAGCTTATTTTTTAGTGGGAGAAGATCAACAAATAAATTATGTAATATATTAGAATGTGATAAATACCATGGAAGAAAAGGACAGAATGAAAGAAATGAAAAAGGAGTGCTGGGGACTGAATTTCTAATGGGATGGACTTTTAAGAACGCCCAGGGGAGGTGAGGGAGTAAGTCATTTGAGGACCTGAGATAGGAGTGCACTTAGCTTGCTCAGGGAACTGCAAGGAGGCCAGTGCTAAGGCTCAGTGAATGAGGAGGGCTGAAAGGGATGGTGCGTGGAAATAGAAGGAGGTGGATCATTCAGAACCTTCCTAAGCCCTGGCTTTTGCTGTGAGTTAGGTGGGTAGCCTTTGAAGAGTTGGAGCAAAGGAATAATATAAACCAATTTTCATTTATCATCATTCCGACGGTGGTGTTGAGAACAGAATGTTAGGGACGGGGTAGTGATGAGTATGGGTCAGATCAGGGAGCCCAGACCAGGCTGCTGTGGTGGAGGGTAAGCAGTGCTGCATTCTGGCACATAGTTTGTTTTTTGTTTCTGAGTCGGGATCTTGCTCTGTCGCCAAGGCTGGAGTGCAGTGGCACGATCTCAGCTCACTGCAACCTCCGCCTCCCAGTTCAAGTGACTCTCCTGCCTCAGCCTCTAAAATAGCTGGGACTGCAGGCGCACGCCGCCACGCCTGGCTAATTTTTTGTATTTTTAGTAGAGACGGGGTTTCACTGTAGTAGCCAGGATAGTCTCAATCTCCTGATTCTTGTGATCCACCTTCCTTGGCCTCCCAAAATGCTGGTATTACAGGCATGAGCCACTGCACCCAGCCTGGCATAGAGTATTTTTAAGGTTAAAGGCAGTAAGATTTACTTACTGAGGAGAGAGAGGAATTAAAGGTGACTCAAAATTTTTTTTCATAAGCTACTGAAAGGATAGAGTTGCACTTAACCAAGATGGGAATCACTGTTGGTGGAGCAGATTTGGGGCAACAGATGAAAAGATAAGTTTTGGGGATATTAAGTTTGAAATGCCTGTTAGACTTTCACGGCAAAGGTGTCAGAAAGACAGTGGTGAACCCAGGTGCAGTTCAGAGGAGTCCAGGCTGGAGGTAGGTGGACTTAGAATCATAACCTATAAATGCTCTGTAAAGCTGTGAGACTGAGGAGCTCTCAAAGGGAGTTGGTATAGGAGAAAGAAAAGGTTCAGTAGCTTAAGCACTGGTTGCTCAGTGTTCAGAGGTCTGAGGAGGTGAAGAGTGCCTGGGGAAAGCCAGGAGAATGGGACTCTGGAAGCCAAGGAGGCTTCTGGGAGGAGAGACCAAGGAGAACCTTCTGGAATCTTGTTGGAGGAAGGTGAGGTGGTGTTAATGGACATTTGGGCTGTTAGCAGTTTTGAGCTATTCTGAATGATGCTGCTATGCGTATTCTCATATGTTTCTCTTGGTACATACTGCAACTTTTTTTTTGTCAACATTGTTCTTTTTGAAACTCATCCATGTTGAGGGTTATAACTGTAATTCATTCATTTTCACTGGTGTGTAATATTCCATGGTCTGAATATACCACATTGTCTGTATTTGTCTGTAGGAAATAAGAATAAATAAAAGGATCCTCTTCAAAGCTTTCCTCTTAGTTCATTACTAATAAATAATAGTTTCTTCAAAGGTTAATTTGCTTTAAAGCTTTTGCTAATAATCTTAAAGTAGCTGTTAGTCATAATAAAGAAATAAGTGCATCCTGTGTTCTTAGTTCTTACACTTTATTTATTTACACCCCCCCTGCCCCCCACCCCCCACCCCCAACCAGCTAGTTCTTACACTTTAACCTAGATATTTGCCATGATACGCCTGGACAAGCCCAGTCAAGTCTTATGTCATAACTTATTCCCCTTCCTTATTTGGAAATGTTATCGCTTCTCTAAGCATTCCACAAATTACTTCCTCTTTTGCTTTGTTCTCCTCTGCCTTTACTACTTTAGAAAATTTCCAAGTTTTTAGCCAACCGGGTCAGGCAAAGAATGTGAGTTCCTGTTCCAGCCAATGGAAGTTGGACACAGCAGTAGGACGATTGCGTCAGGTTATGGAAGTTTTAAATGTCCCTGTCTCCTTGCTCAGGGCTGCTCTCGTGGCAAGACGGCCAGCGAGTTGCACCCTTCCTGCAGGAAGTAAAACTATCCTTGCTCAGTAATCCATTGTCTCAGTGTGGATTTTTCCCGATGTTATAAACCCGTTTCCAACATGTCTATTGACTTTGGGGTTGTTTTCAAGCTTTTGCTATTATAAATAAGCCTGCTGTGAGCTGTTGGGAATTCATGCTTCTTGTCTTTATATGCAAGAGTTTCTTTAGTGTATATACCCAGTGATGTAGTTGGTAGGTATTAAGATATGCTTATCTTCAAAGGTAATGACAGTATTTTCCAAAATAATTTTTTACCTATTTATACTGTTTTTTTTTTTTTTTTTTTTTTTTTTTTTTTTTTTTTTTTGAGACAGCGTCTTACTCTGTTGCCCAGGCTGGATTGCCCTGGCCATGATTCAGCTCACTACAACCTACCCCTTCCAGATTAAAGTGATTCTCATGCCTCAGCCTCCCGAGTAGCTGGGATTACAGGTGCCCACCACCACACCCAGCTAATTTTGTACTTTTAGTAGAGACAGGGTTTCACCACGTTGGCCACTCTGGTCTCAAACTCCTAACTCCAAGGTTAGGAAACCTTGGTGAAACCTTGGAGCAGGCGTCCCCAAACTGCGGCCCCCTGAGGCCATTCAGGAAGGGGCACCTCTTTCATTGGTGGTCGGTGAGAGGAGCACAGTATGTGGCGGCCCTCCAACGGTCTGAGGGGACTGGCCCCCTGTGTAAAAAGTCTGGGGACGCCTGCCTTGGAGTTAGGAGTTTGACACCAGAGTGGCCAACGTGGTAAAACCCTGTCTCTACTGCCCACCTCTGCCTCCCAAAGTGCTGGGATTACAAGCCTGAGCCACCACAGCTGGCCTATATTCTGTTTAACAGGGTTTGAGAGTGACCATTGCTTTAAAATTTATCTTACATTGGGAAATACTTGTCCTTCCTTTTGAATTGAAATACTGTCTTAGCTTCCTCTCTTGGGTCTTACAGATGCTAATAAAAACATTAGGTTAATTAACAAAAGAATGGTGAAAGGCTGAGGGGAGAGTCAAAGGGCTCATCTTAGGAAGGTGGAAATTTTTAAAGAGCTCTGTTAATAGTTTAGCACCGAAAGCATTTGCATGATCTGTTGGGTTAGTAAAGCTCAGTTCAGAGTCAATGTCTGTACCTGTCAGGACCCATTTTAGCCCCCTAGGGCTACCAGCATCAGTCTCACTGACCAGCTATGTTCTGGGCCTTGCCACCCGGGAATCTCCCCATAGCCAGAGGGAGTATCTTTCTCTTGCAGATAGAACAGTTCCTATTGGCTGTTTGTTCTTGAGAGGGTGGAAAGGGAACATGTCTAGACTCAGCCCATCTCTGCACTGCTGCAGTACCCCCATATTAACTTAATCTAAGGGATTTCTTCTGATTGGCATTGACATGCCCTATTTTAATGCGCCCTTCAAATTTCCATGGTGTCGTGCCCGATATGGGGATCCCTTTAATAGGCCAGGTTTCCATTGCTCTCCAGCCTGATCATGTGGCCACTGGTCACTGGTCACTGCCCATAACTTGAGTAAAAACCCTAGCACAGGGGCTTTTACCACTGTTCAATTCTTCCATCACTGCGAGAAAAACAACATGCAATCAACACACCCAGCGGACTTGTTTTTACCTGCTTTGATCCCAGTGGCATGCTTCCTTCCAAATAGGTTGTTGTCCATTCACCTTGGAACTGCCATCTGTAAACAAAGCAGCTCTTTGTTGGTCTGTTGGGAGCTGTTTATTGGGAAACTGTCCAAGTGTGGATATGATCCAGCAGCTCCTCACGCAGTTCCAGAGTCAGTCCTAGGGGAAAAGAAGCTCTCTGCTACCTGGGTAATGCAAAGACCTCCTTGCATTTTCCAGGTAACAAGGTCCTGTATAAACTATTTCCATTTTATTATGGAACTCTTGGGCACTGTCATCCTCATTGAAGTGTTTCTCTGACAGCCCACAAAAAGCATGAGTATTTCAGGTTTCAGGATGATTTTATGTCCTCAATTATAGGGGTAGCTTCAATTAATGTCTCATAGCAAGGTAATACATGCCCCTCAAGTGGTAATTCTCTAGTCCTAAGTCTCAGTAGTTGTCGCTGGGAGGCATTCACAGGCTTTTGCCATGAGCTCTGGTAAATGCTCCGCAATCAGTTTGTCCCTACCAGCACGTCAACTTCTATGTTGTGTAGGCTGGGGGAATCTTTCTGGTTCCCATATAGCACATCTACTTATTATTGCTTGAAGGACAAGTTTACGTGCCTTCTGTTTCACAGGACAGGAGTAGGCAGAGGGAACGTTCTTCAGGCAGATACAATATCCGTCTCCGTAATACAATAAAGTAGAGGTGATGGAACTACTTCACATGAAGCAGGTTCAGACATGCTAACTCTCCTATGAAATTTTATCCTAATTCCATCAACCCTTACATTCCTAAGTATGGCCTCCATTAGAACTTTATTAACAGGTTTTGGAATCACAGTGCATTGGGCTTCTGTGTCACAGAGCCCCAGAAAGGTTTCTACTCCATGCCCTGATCCTTTTACCACTGGTGTACATAAGGCTTTGGGTCCCCAGCAAGGGATTGAACCAAGGAACTCTTGGCTGTTTGTCAGTCTTTATCTTGATTAACCTGCCTCAACATTGACCCACACAATTGTTGGTCATCTTTCTCTTTGCAGTCTCTGCCTTTCAGCTTTTAAAGTTTCTCCAGACTGGGGTAAATGCAAGAAACTTGTTTGAAGCCCTTTAATGTTGGTTAATCAACAGAGGTTCCCTTTCGTTCATCCACCTTTGGTAGTACTATATTAAAACCTTTAATCGGTAACTTTAATTGAAGAGACTGTACTTTCCCCATTGATCTTCAGTATCAATTCTATATTATCTCAAAATTTCTTTTTCTCCTTAGTTTCACCTCATCAATGTTTTCTTTACTTACTTCCTTAATAATCCTTTAAACATTTCCACCTTTGTCCCTTGACTTTTCCCCTCAGCTTTTTACCATTCTCCTGTTAATGAACCTTTGTTTTTATTAGCATCTGTAAGACCCAAGAGAGGAAGTTGAGATAGCAAATCTAATAAGGCTTCCAGAACTTTTTCAGTTTTGCTGCAGTCATGTTTTATGAGGGGTCCACACTGAAGGGGTGTCCTTAACCACAGCATGACCTGGGTAATGGGCATATTCAATGATTGAATATCCCTGTCATGATAAAGCCAGTGTCTATTTCATTGAGTATCCATTTTCAGTTCTTTTGTGTGTATTCCTAGAAGTAGAATTGCTGGGTCATATGATAATTTTATGTTTAACTTTTTGGGTATGTTTCTAAAAGAGGACTGTTTATTTTTTTAAACTGCAACATTATCGCACTTTAAAAATAATCTCTTAATCTCATCAGTAATCCCTTAATCTCATCAAATAACCAGTGTAGAAATTTCCCTGGTTTTCTCATTAACAGTGTTGGCAGTTTTTATAAGAACAATGATCCAAATAAATTAGAACATTAAGTATGTTTGAAGTATCTTTTAAGATTCTCTTTATCTATAAATTCCCCCTTTTTTTCTTGCAGTTTAATATCCAAAGAAATCAAGTCCTTTGTTATGTCAGTTTACACACATTCTGGAGTTTGGTGATTGTATTTCTGTTTCAATGGATTTTTCTGTCTCATGTCTTTCCTATAAACATAGATGCTTATCTGGCATGACTGTGTCATAGGTAGTGTGTGTCCATCTTCTATTGCGTTAGATTGAGAAGCATATAATGTCTGGTTGCCCTCTTTGTGTTGTTAAAATCATAATCGTATTTGGGTATTGTCAGCTTAATTCATAAAGTTTCTCACTTAGCATTTTCAGCTATGGTTGATCGTTACCTAGATTCTTTATTTTGGTAAAAGTAAATAATAGAATGGTAATATTCTATCATAATTAGGATAATTGGAATAGTTCTAATAATAATTGGATTTTTTACTTATTTATTTGTTTTTGAGAACAAGTCTCCAAGTTCTCGCTCTGTCACCCAGGCTGGAGTACAGTGGCGCGATCTTGGCTGACTGCAGCCTCTACCTCCCGGGTATAAGCGATTCGCCTCAGCCTCCAAAGTGGCTGGGATTTACAGGCACACACCACCATACTAGACTAATTCTTTTAAATGTTTTAGAGACAAGGTTTCGCCATGTTGCCCAGTGAGTTCTTGAACTCCTTAGCTCAAGCCATATGCCCAGCTTGGCTGGGATTACAGGCGTGAGCCACTGTGCCTAGCCAGTTGCACCGTCTCAAAATCCCACCAACAGTGCACAAAGCTTCCAGTTTCTCCACATTCTTGCCAGTCTTAATATTATTTTTTTGATAGCTATCTCCATGGGAGTGAAATACTGTGGTTTTGATTTGCATTTTTCTGGTAATTAGTAATATTGAGCATTGTGTGCTTATTGGTCATTCATCTAGTATATTCTTCAGAGAAATGTCTTCAAGTTTTTGCTCATTTTTGAAATCGCTGTTTGTGTGTCTCATTCAGTTTCAGGAGTTCTTTGTATGTTCTGTGTATATATCTCTTACCAGATGCATGTTTTACAAAGATTTTCTCCCTTTCTGTGAGTTATCTCTTTACTTCTTGATGGCATCCTTTGAAATCCAAAGGATTTTTAAAAATCTTTATTTTTTCCTTGGTTCCTTATGCTTTGTAATCTAAAATTCCGTTGCCTAATCTAAGGTCATGAAAATTTACACCTGTGTTGTACTCTAAAAGTTTTATAGTTTTAGCTGTCATCATGAGGACTTAATGCATTTTGACTTAATTTTTGTGTGTGGGGTTAGGTAGGAGTTCAGCTTTCTTTTGCATGTGGTGTCCAGTTGTCACAGCACCTTTGGTCGAAAAGATATTCTTTCCCCCTTGAGTTGTCTTAGTACTTACTTAGGTCAAAAATCAATTGACCATAAATGTGAGAGTCTATTTCTGGACTATAAATTCTATTCCATTGATGTATATGTCTCCTTATGCCAGTAGCACAGAATCTTGATTACTGCGGTTTTATAATATTTGTGGGGTTTTTTCTTTCTTTTTTTTTAACTGCTCCTGTAGAACAGAGCTATCCCATAGGCAGTATGCCCAGAGTAGCTGTAGATTTGGATTTCCCTTGTAGGTGATTATTATCTGTGAATTATGACAGCTTTGCTTATTATTTTCCAGTCTTTATATTCTTAGAGAGCCTCACTCTGTCGCTCAGGCTGGAGTGCAGTGGCACAATCTCAGCTCACTGCAACCTTTCCCTCCTGGGTTCAAGATTCTCCTGCCTCAATATCCCAAATAGCTGGAATTACAGGCATGTGCAACCATGCCTGGCTAATTTTTGTATTTTTAGTAGAGACAAGGCTTCACCATGTTGGCCAGGCTGGTCTCAACTCCTGACCTCAAGTGATCCACCCATCTTGGCCTCTCAAAGGGCTGGGATTATAGGCTTGAGCCGACAAGCCCAAAAGTTCTTACCGCCAGGCTAGAACTTCCAGAACCATGGTGAATAAAAAGCAGTGATAATAGATAGGTTTGTCTTAGTCTTGATTTTAAAGCAAATGTATTTAACACTTCTACATTAAATACAAAAGTTTGCTATGGGCTTCTCATGGATACTTTTTCTCAGCCTAAGGTTATTTTTTTCTCTTCCTATTTTTATCCTGAAAGAAAGTTGAATATTATCAAATACATTTTCTGTATCTATTAAGATGATTATTTTTTCTTTTAACTGTTAAGATAGTGAATTTTGCTGATCCATCTAGTATTAACTCAATTTTTTTTTCCTACAGTAAACTCAACTTGGTCTTAATATGTAATTTTTCTTCATATATTAATTGGGTTCTATTTGCTAATATTTGGTTTAGGTATTTTGCATCTGTGATCATGTGTGAGTTTCACTTTTTCTTTCCCTTACTGTTCTTAACTGGAGTATGTCCCTATTCTCTGAAATATTTTGTATGAGATTGAAAATATCTGTTCCCTGGATATTTGATATTTGGCTGACATTTGCGGTAATAGAGACTATTTAACCCATATGTGTGGGATCTACTTTTGACTTTGTGGAATGAGAATACAGAAGAGGGTATTTGATTCATTTGATTTTTGCAGCTTGTTATTCCTGTACTATGGGCTAGTCTAAGGTTCCAGTGTAGCCGAAGTTACTCATTTGACTCTGCTATACAGTAATAAAATTGTTACACAGATGAGCCATTATTGTAATGAAAGCTAGGGAGTATGTCTTTACCTTTTACTTATATGATACAAGGGCAGTGTTTCCTATATGTAGACTAACTAAATTTCTGTTTATCTTACAGAGGTGATAGACCTTACTCATGATAACAAAGATGATCTTCAGGCTGCCATTGCTTTGAGTCTACTGGAGTCTCCCAAAATTCAAGCTGATGGAAGAGATCTTAACAGGTTACTGATTTAACTTATAATCCTTACCCCCACATTTGTGTGTATGTCAAAAGCAATAGCTCTGTGACTGCCACTCAGAAATAATTCTGCTAAGAGCCTGAATGAAATTTCTTTTAGGATAAATTTTGAATTTGCATTAGCTTACTCTTTGGTTCACTTTTGAAAAAGCCAAACTGAAAGGGGTCTTATTGCAACCTGTGTCTTTGAGTAGAAGTGTGCCAGGTGTTTTAGTTCACAGTTACTAGGGTAAATTAAAAACAACCTAGTCCAGGTATCTGATAAATGTATATTCTCTTTTATAAACTTTGAGGATTATGCTGTTACATATTTTTAAATGAAAGTTACTCAACTACCCTGCCTGATAAGTGATCAAGGAATCTATTTTTTTGAACTGGTACTAATTTGGTGATTGTTTGGTACTGTTCACCAACGTCCAGTTCCAGTGGTGGCCTATCAGTTTCTGGACATGTTTATTCCCTCACACTGCTGAGTTGTTTGTTTCAGGCAACATAGGGCTATGTTTTGTGTCCTGGGCAACTTGGAGCTCTTATCTTTAGCACAGTGTCTCTCCTGCCCTTTTCAATGGCGGGGTCATAGGTAGTATGCTGTGTTGAAATCTAAAACTCTAATATGATAGCCTTAAACAGTCTTGAGTTTCAACTTACCATGGACCTTATTAGTAATAATGTCAGTTAACGAAGGATTAACATTTTTATGTTAAAATCTTGCTTTTCATTTGCATTACAATTTTATAGTTACTTATATAGCTAGGGATTATCCAGTAAATACTTTTTCTGGCATTTTGAATTATCCATGAAAGGTTATAGTATCCTCCATATGCTATATTATTCTTTAACTACTTTCTTTTTTGATGTATGGTATCTTGCACAACATAGGATGCACGAAGCAACCTCTGCAGAAACTAAGCGCTCAAAGAGAAAACGCTGTGAAGTCTGGGGAGAAAACCCCAATCCCAATGACTGGAGGAGAGTTGATGGTTGGCCAGTTGGGCTGAAAAATGTTGGCAATACATGTTGGTTTAGTGCTGTTATTCAGGTATGATATTTTTAAGAGATAACTGTGTCTTTTGGAAGTAAATTCCTAATTTATTAAAGTGAAATGTAGAAACATAGCTTTCAAAAAATTAAAACAGATCTATAAAACTGGGAAGTTTTTCCTGTGGCATTATTGTGTTTTGGATTTAGATGCTCTGATGTCTAAGTTGGGCAGTACTAAAAATAAAATCCTCTGTGGTTGTAAATACATTGAATAGGTGTTTTGGATAAGCGTTTAGTGAACACTGTATTATAGCAATGAGAGTGAATAAGGAGAAATCAGTTGTTGAAGGCTATCATGGCTATCCAGGTAGGTGACAGTGGTGGTCTGGAGTAGAGAAGTGTCAGAAGTCATGGAGGGGAAGAAGTGAATGCATTCTTGAGGCGCTGACGAAATCAAATCTATGAGATTGGTTGGCAGTTGGATACAGGATATGCCTGCAGCAGTTGAGTAAGACTCTGAGGTTTCTAGTTCAAGTAACCAGGTGGATTATAGTGCCATTTGACACTGGAAGAGAAATAATTTGGGTGTGTGTTAAGTATGGATTTTAGGTGAGTTTTGTTGTTGTTGTTGTTCGTTTGTTTCTTGAGATGGAGTCTTGCTCTGTCGCCCAGGCTAGAGTGCAGTGGTGCGATCTCAGCTCACTGCAACCTCCACCTCCCAGGTTCAAGCAATTTCACTGCCTCAGCCTCCTGAGTAGCTGGGACTACAGGCAAACGACACCACAACTGGCTAAATTTTGTATTTTTAGTAGAAATGGGGTTTTACCATGTTGGCCAGGCTGGTCTCCAACTCCAGACCTCCATTTGCATTACAGTCTTACAGTTACTTACATAGCTAGGGATTATCCAGTAAATACTTTTTCTGAGATTTTGAATTATCCATGAAAGTTTATAGCATCCCCCATAGTGCTGGTCTCCCAAAGTGTTGGGATTACAGGTGTGAGCCACTGCGCCTGGCTGCCTTGCTAATTTTTTAGTAGAGAAGGGGTTTCACCATGTTGGCCAGGTTGATCTCAAACTCCTGACTTCAGGTGATATGCCTGCCTCAGCCTTCCAACGTGCTGGGATTTCAGGTGTGAACCACTGCACCCGGCCCAGTGTCTTTATTTTTTAAATGTATTATTTATTTAGTTACTCATTTGAGACAAGATGGCACAATCTTGGCTCACTGCAACCTCTGCCTCCTGGATTCCGGGGATCCTCTTCCCTCAGCCCCTCACCTAGCTTACAGGCATGTGCCACCACGCCTGGTTAGTTTTTGTAGTTTTAGTAGAGATGGGGTTTCACCATGTTGGCCAGGCTGGTCTTGAACTCCTGACCTCAAATGATCCAACTGCCTTGGCCTCCCAAAGGGCTGGGATTACAGGCATGAGCGACTGCACCTGCTGATCAGTTCGGTTTTAGATATGCTGAGTTTGAGGTGCCAGCGTCTGTGTATGCTGTGGTCTTAACTACCCTTCATTAAATTCACAGAGTACCCTTTGGTCCTTTCATCACATATCTAGCAAATCCTCCAACTTAAATGAGTTGAATTTAAGGAGATACTATGTAGGCAGATAATTATATGAATCTGTACTTCAGTATATGAATCTGTACTTCAGAAAAAAGTGCTGGGCTGCAGCTACAGTTTTGGAAATCAGTGCCATATAGATGGTAGTAAAACCAAGGGAGTGAATGAATTCACTAGAGGGTAGTGGCTTTCTAGAAGAGTCAGTCAGGCATCTTAAACTTACATTGCTCCAATGCAGCCCCTGATGCTCACCCCAGCAATCTTCTCCATCATGGTACATGGCATCTACCCAGCTGCTTGTGCTGAAGAATGTAATTCTCCCTTTCTACATCCAGTTTCTATGTACCTGGCACTGTCTTAGGCTCTGGTGAAACAGCAGTGACTAAAACAAAACAAAGACCCTACTCTCACAGTTTACTTTGGAAAGAGTGGCACAGACAGTAAATGAAACATCAGGTGGTGACAAGTGTAAAGATGAATGAATGAGGCTGTGGGACTGGACAGGGTTCAGCTGGAGAGGGCAGTGGGTCAGGGATGGCCTTTCTGATGAGGTGGGCATTTGAGTAGAGGCCTGAAGGTGGCCAGGGAATGAGCTATATAATTACATAGAGAACATTTCAGACAAGGAACAGCAAATAAGCAGACTGAGGTTTAGGAGCTTGCTTAATGTGTCTGAGGAAGAGCTGAGACAGAGTGATCCAGAACTGATAGCAGTGGGATAGGAAAGGTGATGGAGGTGGAATGGGAGAGCCTGGGGTCATGATGAGGATTTGGGAGAATTCTAGAAATAGGAATGCATTGGAAGATTTGGAGCAGAGAAGTGATCCGATCATACTTCCAGTTTAAAAGGATCACTGGCATCTGTGTTAAGAATAGAGTGTAGGAAGATAATGTGGAACATGTCAGTTCTTTCCTGTCTGAAAGGGGAGAGAGAGAGAGAGAGAGAGAGAGAGAGACAGAGACAGAGACAGAGACAGAGAAAGAAAGAGAATACTCCCTGGATTCACATCCCCCTCAGCCTTAACTCCTGTGGAGGGTGGACAAGAGCCAGCAGATGCAGAGGATAGGTGAGTAAGGCTTCTGGGACAGCATGAGCAGACAGCATAGAAAGTATATCGGAGGAGTTGGCCTTAACAAGGAAAAGGGCAAGGGAGTAATAGGCAGGGAGGAGGAAGAAATGATAACTGCATGTTAGAGTTGAAGTGGTGTCTAGTCTTTTTTTCCCCCGTCTATGAAATAAGCAGCCGTTTTTTAACACAGTGGAAAAGCGACAGTCAGATTTCAAAGGGAGTGAAAGTTTGAAATAGTTGTTGGAGATGGTGGGAAAACCAGTTGGCATCAGAGCACAATAGTAGGATTTTCAAAAATTTGAAGGTCTTCTTGAAATTGTTGACTTTCAATGACTAGTGATACAAAAATGTTCAGTTTCTATCAGTACTTTGTCTTGACAGCATTCTGAACCTCTTACATGGAAAACTCAACCCATTTAAGTTGGAGCATTTGCTGGGTATGTGATCAAAGGACAAAAGGGCACTCTGAATTTAATGAAGGGTAATTAAGACCATAGTATCAAAGCTAGATGGAGAAAGAAATGAAGATAAGAAGGAGAACTGATGGTTGGGGGCCAGGAAAGAGATCAGTTTGCTTGGGCCCCTGCTGAATTCAAAGAACGGGTATCCTGTGGGTAATTGGACAGATAACGCAGAAGAGAGTAATGGTACCAGAGTGAGATTTTCTGAATATGTGATCTGTGAACTGATACATTTTAGGTGTTGGCTTATTTTGGGTGCAGCCTGGGATACGAGTGTAGATGGAGATGGAGGGGAAGAATGTGTCACTAGACATGGGACACCCAAGAAGCAGAGAGATCTCCAGGCTGGATGGCTGCAAGGGCTCTCAGCAAACAGTTGAACACCTGTTCTATGTCTAACAGTGTTCTAGGCCCTTGATTTAGGAGTGAACAAAACAAAGAAAGCTGTGCCCACATGGAATGTAAATTCTCGTGAGGTGAGATAGAAATGAACAGTAAACGAAAAACTAACAGAGTGATGAACTAGCTAAATAAATTGTATAATACATTAGACTGTGGTTGGTCCAGTAGAAAAAAGAGCAAAGTTAGGGAGATTAGAACTGCAGGAGGGTGGTAACAGGTTGCAGTATTAACTGTGGTGTTCAGTGAGCCTCACTGAGGTGGGGAAGGGGGGTGAGACTGGCAAGGGAGTGAACCAGGCAGCTACTGGGACAAAAACATTCCAGGTAGAGGAATGCATGACGCAATGGCTTCATGGTGGGAATGGGTTTGGTGTGTTCAGGGAACATGCTGGAGTCCTATTGGCTGTATGCTAAGAGCAAAGGGAAGGTCACTGGAGATGAGGGTCTGAGTGGACAGGGAGTCTGTGAAGTTCCCCAGTGGCAGACTGATGAACTCTGGCTCAAGTGTTAAAAGACTCACTCTGGCTTCTGTGAGGAGATCAGGATGGAGGGGCAAGAATGCACAGAGAGAGCCCCATGGCTGTCATCCATGCAGAGTGATGGTGACTTGGACTGGACTGGTAGCCCTGGAAATAGAAAAGAGTTGGTGTTCTTAGTATATTCTCAAGACAACACTGACAGGATGTCCTCAGGGATTGGATGTTGAGCAAAGTCACCTAGGAGGATGTCAGGACTTGGGAGAGTGAGGAAAGCTATTACCAGATGACAGTCTTCAGTGAATCGGGAGCTTTATTTTGGTCATATTAGGGAGGTAGTAACGAGGAGCTGCATGGCAAGTGTGAGTTGGTGGAGGGAAGTTTTGGAAGCAGAGAGACCATATAGTTATGCAAGTGAGCGGCAGTGGGAGTTGGATTCGAGCAGCTGATGGGGCACTGATAGGGAGAAAGCAGTTAGGTTATAAAGAGCACCCAGAAGCAGAGGCCAAGGGACCTGTTAGTCATTGGATGTGAATGATTAGGAGAAAGATTCAAGGATTTTTCTGCACTTCTAAACTTTGGTGACTGGAGGAGGATATAATGAAGTGATACAGAGAACACAGAAGCAGTAGCTGTTAGAGAGAAAGTTGGGAGATGTGAGTAGTATTAGCTCACATTTACTGTGGTTTTTAAGAACAATGGCATCTTTGGGGAAAGCCCGATTTTCGTGATGGCGAAGAGGTGGAGTTAAGTGGCCAAGCATGTAAAGCCATTTTTCTCACAGTGGAACAGAAACTCGAGAATGTCACAGGGTAGCCAGCAGGGTAGGAATGCAGGTGTGTCAGGTAGACAGGTGAGGTGGAAGAGAAGAGAGTGGCTCAGGATAGAGCTCAGTAGACAAGTCCTGGCTCCTGAGAGAACTTTGGTGCAGGAGCATGACCCGGTTTTACACTCCAGTCCGGGTGAACACTCATCCTATTGACTGAATCCCACCATGGCTTATATTAGAGTGAAGGAAGCCATAGAGGTGCACATGGGCTCTAGTCAGGTACTGACACTTTGATTCTTTGGTTGACATTAATAAATATACCTGAGGCTTTTAGAATACCAAGAATGTGTTTTATCTAGTTCTAATAGCAAAGTTTTGCCTTTTATCTACCTAGGATGCTGCGTCAAGATTTCCACCATGCAAGCCTGAGCGAGTTTTCATTTGAGGAGCATGTTAGGATGAGGGATTATATATTCATACAAGAGTTTTTTAAAAATTAACTTATGAAAGATATTCAAAGTAGAAAAATGTGATTTACAAATAAAAAAGAATTCCTCTCTTCAGTTCTACTAGCCAGAGATATCTGCTGTTAAACTTTTAAAAAATACATGATTATGACAAAGAGTGGAGAATAGTCAACACTGCTATACTCACCACCTGGCTTAAAAAATTAATGTTTCAGGCCGGGCGCGGTGCCTCAAGCCTGTAATCCCAGCACTTTGGGAGGCCGAGGCGGGTGGATCACAAGGTCAAGAGATCAAGACCAACCTTGGTCAACAAGGTGAAACCCCGTCTCTACTAAAAATACAAAAAATTGCCGGGCGCGGTGGCTCAAGCCTGTAATCCCAGCACTTTGGGAGGCCGAGGCGGGTGGATCACGAGGTCAAGAGATCGAGACCATCCTGGTCAACATGGTGGCGTGTGCCTGTAATCCCAGCTACTCAGGAGGCTGAGGCAGGAGAATTGCTTGAACCCAGGAGGCGGAGGTTGCGGTGAGCCGAGATCGCGCCATTGCACTCCAGCGTGGGTAACAAGAGCGAAACTCCGTCTCAAAAAAAAAAAAAAAAAAATACAAAAAATTAGCTGAGCATGGTGGCGCATGCCTGTAATCCCAGCTACTCAGGAGGCTGAGACAGGAGAATTGCCTGAACCCAGGAGGCGGAGGTTGCGGTGAGCTGAGATCGTGCCATTGCACTCCAGCCTGGGTAAAAAGAGCGAAACTCCGTCTCACAAAAAAAAAAAAAAATTAATGTTTCAAATTTCTGTTCTGTTGAGTCCCTGTTGTGACATCATCCCTTTCCCACAGACATAACTGCACATGTATGTATCCCCAAACAATATGTAGTATTGTTTTACATGTTGTTAATCTTAATATAAGCAGTATAATCCCTTTTTTTTTTTTGGAGACCGAGTCTCACTCTGTTGCCCAGGCTGGGATGCAGTGGTGCAATCTCGGCTCACTGCAACCTCCGCCTCCTGGGTTCAAGCAATCTTCCTGCCTCAGTCTCCCGAGTAGCTGGAACTACAGGTACCCTCCACCATGCCCAGCTGACTTTTTTTGTATTTTTAGTAGAGACGGGGTTTCACCATATTGGCCAGGCTGGTCTCGAACTCCTGACCTTGTGATTCTCCCTCCTCGGCCTCCCAAAGTGCTGGGATTATAGGTGTGAGCCACTGCACCTGGCCAGTATAATACTTTCTTCTGTAACTTTCTTCACTCAAAATGTATTTTTGAGGTTTATCCATGTTGATACAATTAGCTCTTGTTTTTTTGTTTGTTTGTTTTTCATTTTCCCTGCTATATAGGAAGTCATTTTATAAATACATTTTACAGTATTATCTCAATGACTGCTTAATAGTCTATTGTATAAATGTAGTACAGTTTATTTAAGCTACTACTTTTGGCCAAGCATGGTGGCTCGTGTCTATAATCTCAGCAATTTGGGAGGCCAAAGCGGGCAGATCACTTGAGCTCAGAAATTTGAGACCAGCCTGGGCAACATACAAGACCCTGTCTCTACAAAAGCAAAAGCAAAACAAAACAAAAACTACTCCTTTAGGTTGTTTCTATTTTTTACCTAAAAGTATTAATATTCTTTTAGCTAATTTTTTTGTGCACAACCATTATTTCCTTAGAAATAATATAAGTTGAATTACTAGGTTGATAGTTTTACATACTTTTAAATAGGAAATAAAATATTTAAAGTGAAAAATATATATATTGCTGCAGTTACTTTGAGGAAAGGCTGTGAATCCCTTTTTCTTTATTTCAGTCTCTCTTTCAATTGCCTGAATTTCGAAGACTTGTTCTCAGCTATAGTCTGCCACAAAATGTACTTGAAAATTGTCGAAGTCACACAGTAAGTTGGTATCAAGGAATTTCTTCACTGTTGTTTAGTCCCTTTTACCCCCAAGGCTTCTAGATTTTTGCCTAAAGCTGATATCCATGATACTCTTTGGCTTGTGCTAATACTTGTTTTCATTTCTACATGCCTTTTCTTTTTTGGGGATAACATGTAAGGGTATGCAAAATGTAAAATTAAGTAGGAATAAAATGAGAAAACCGGCTCCAAGAATATGTGGGTGGGAGATCCCGAATACCTGTGTTTGTTGTATCCTTTCTCTTCCTGAGCTGCTTAGGCCATGTGACGCTGGAGAGATACCTTGATGCCAGAGACCTGAACCTTCTTAGTCTGTTTTATGCTGTTTTTGCCAAAGGTCGATCCTCCTTCCAGTGATTTAACCCTTCCCAGGATTTCACCTTGGTGCAATGCCTTTTCCTCTTGAGAGGGAGGGCAGCAGCTTCAGAAAGTGGGCGTTTCTGTTTTTCCAACAGTGCTGTCTCTGGCTTCTACATAGTTATTCTTCAGTTTAGAGTACAATCCTTACCAGAGTCACTGTAACATACGTAGCCCTGTAACTTTTACTTAGATCTAGATAAATATAAATGGGGGCATGATTATTGACAACTTTTTTTCCTTTACGTGTTCTGATTTTCTAAATGAGCTGTTGTAAGAGTACATGTGCTGTGTTTTCTACAGGAAAAGAGAAATATCATGTTTATGCAAGAGCTTCAGTATTTGTTTGCTTTAATGATGGGATCAAATAGAAAATTTGTAGACCCGTCTGCAGCCCTGGATCTATTAAAGGGAGCATTCCGATCATCTGAGGAACAGCAGGTACAAAAGAAGCCTTGTTCTTGAGTTTGAAGTCATGCCTTGTCAATATTAATGTGGTCCTGCTTTATTTCAACTGCATAACAAGCTGTGAACATGACTAAGCAGGACTACGAGCACCCGTTTCTGACTTTTATTTTGCCTACAGAACAGGTGGTGAGAGGGAAAGCATATGCATGTGTGAGAGAGAGTGTGTCTTTATTGCACGGGGGCTGGCAGTTGTAAAGAGAAGAAGAAATAGTAGTAGAAAAAATGTAGAATTATACTGGGGTTATTGATGTAGAAAAGGAGGAGATTGGAAAATACATCAATGAGCTGTAACAAAAGGGATACCAACCAAAGTAGTCCTTTGTCTGCACCTTTGTCTTGGAATGGTCCAGACGGAAATCCTACTTTTAAAACTAAATCCGAGTTCAGGAGCTTTTCTCAGCAACTTCGCTCTTTTAGACTTTTCTTTCTCCACCTGCTATTAAAAAATAGCTGGGCATGGTGGTACACGCCTGTGGTCCCAGGTACTTGGGAGGCTGAGGTGGGAGGATCCCTGGAGCCCAGGAGTTTGAGGCTGCAGTAAGTTGTGATCGCGCTACTGTACTCCAACCTGGGTGACAGAGTGAGACCCCTCCTCTGAAAAAATAATTTAAAAACAGAAACAAAGCTGTCACTGATTAGATCCACTTCTTGCTCATATAATTTTTTTTTTTCTCTGTTTGAAAGTCCTACAGTTCTATAAAATTCTCAAAATATTTCTTTCTTTATACAGATCTCTATATTGTTCTAGAGGACTACAGTCTGTTCCTTGGGTCTTTTTCTTAAGAAGTCCTACTTGGGAGATTTTGTTTTTTCTTCTTTCTTTGTCATAAATAGATGTGGCTGGAAGTAGTAGAGTTCCAACCTCCTTCTAGCTACAACTTAAGAGATTGCGTAATGTACCTTTTTAAAATCTGGGTTTCAGTGTTTGTATATCTTCATGATATTCGGCCTCCAAAAAATGCTTTCAGGCTGGGCACAGTAGCTGATGCCTGTAATCCCAGCACTTTGGGAGGATAAGGTGGGTGGATCATTTGAGGTCAGGAGTTCAAGACCAGCTTGGCCAGCATTGTGAAACCCCATCTGTACTAAAAATACAAAAATTAGCTGGACATGGTGGCATGTGCCTATAATCCCAGCTACTTGGGAGGCTGAGGCAGGAGAATCATTTGAGCCTGGGAGGCGGAGGTTGCCGTGACCTGAGATCACGCCACTGCACTCCAATCTGAGCAACAGAGTGAGACCCTGTCTCAGACAAAGAAAAAAGAAAAAAAAAATGCTTTTATAGTAGTAGAATCTTAATTCATTGGTGGGATAAGGATAAATTTTCATTTCTTAGTATTGCGTCTAACTTTTATGCAATTTGTGCCTCTCTTATAGCAAGATGTGAGTGAATTCACACACAAGCTCCTGGATTGGCTAGAGGACGCATTCCAGCTAGCTGTTAATGTTAAGTGAGTGTTGAGGGTTTGTTTGTACATCCTTCCAACTCACAGTGGGCCAATGAGCGTTATACGCTGGAAAGTTACTCTCCTTAAGTAGAAATTGCTGGTTTTGAACCATATCTCCTGGGATAGCCACTGAGGTAGTACACTCATGGTATATCGCTGTCGCCTTCAGCTTTCCCCTCTAAGGATATAGGGATATAGCAATCATCTTACCCTGCAGCTTTTTTTTTTTTTTTTAGCTAAAGAACCATAATTGTTAACTTTGTTAAACTCAGCATGTGCTATAAAAATGTGTTTGTAAAAAGGTCAAATCAATCTTTGTTGTGAACATGGTGGTATAAGATGAATACTTAAATTTAATCTAAGATCCTTTTTGAGATCTACTTAGAATGTGTAGAGGAAAGGTTATGGTCATTTCAGTCACTGAGAGAAGTGAAATTCAGGGCACGGAATATGGATATCCCTCTTAGAAATATGTGTTTTAAATGGTTTCAATTCTAGGTAGAAGACTTATAACTATGAAATGGTTTTGCAAACAGCAACTTAACATAGTTAACAATTTAAGATGGACTCGTAAGAAGAAACTTTTTACTCCTATTATACCAGGGAGAAAAATTTTTTGTATTTATTTGTAAAACTACACAAGAGAGTTCATTCTTACCTTTATACTACTTCTATACCTTGTGTACATCTATCATTGGATATAGATGTATATACTGAAAGCATACAAATACCTGTATTTGTCTGCAAGTATGACTCTGCTATTAGGCTTTAAGTTCCTTAAGTCCAGGGATTGTGCCTTCTTGTCTTTGAGTCTTCAGAGTTTAGCACAATGCTAGGAAGAAAGTGTTCAATAAATATTTGAACTGAACTAATTGTTACTTACTTAGATCATACCTGGCTCTTTGGGGTTTGATGAAAATGCACTATTTTTGTTTTTGAATGATGCTTGGATTTTATGTAGCGTATATCTTAATCCAAACAATCCAGAATTGTCTCCTTTTCCTAAAAGCAGCAGTCCCAGGAACAAATCTGAAAATCCAATGGTGCAGCTGTTCTATGGTACTTTCCTGACTGAAGGGGTTCGTGAAGGTAAATTCTCTGCTCTGAATTTTAATTCTAGACCTGTGATCATATCTTTATTACTGGTCCCTTTGAGGAGGCAGTATGATGAATAGTCTTGAGAGTCGGTGATACCCAGGTGTGAATATTGGTTCTGCCTCTTGGTGTCTGTTAACTTTGGACAAATTATGTGAGCTTCTGGATCCTCAGTCTCTTCATCTGTTAAATGTGCCCGATCTTTATCTCAGATTTGTCATATTAATACTTGCACAACCCAAATCTGACAGTAATGTCGGATAGTGATTTTACTCAGTTTTCTCTGTGTTGCTTATTCTGATATAATACCTAATCTCAAAAGCTTTTATTGAGTGAGACTGCCAAAAATACTTTTCTAGACAAGAGACTTTTCACTCTGGAGGTTTATCTAACTAAGCCACGTGCTAGACACATAATTTATTTTTAATTATGGAGAATTTAGAATACATTAAAATAGAGCCATTTTAAAACCTCCATGAACCCAACCCTAGCTCACAGCCAGTCATTCCCCTTCTCACCCTGTCACTCTTACCAATCTGATATTAGTTTAAAAACATAATCCAGTACCAATATGACTCTGAAAAATAGCATTTTAAACTATCAACTATCTAGTCAGTGTTCAAATTGCTAGTTTGTTTTCATAATTTAAAAACCAGAAAATTTATTTTCAGAATTTGTTTTAATGAGGACCCCAGTGTCATTTATGATTGAATATTTGTAGGCTACCCCTCCATCCTTTTTTCCTTGAAATGCTGAATTTTTGGAGAATCTGGGTCGTTTGTTCTGTAGCATTTCTCATAGTCAGAAATTTTGCTGTTTGCATGTCCCCTGATACATTTTTAACATATTCCCATGTTCCTCTCTACTCGTCTCTTATAAATTAATTGGTAGTTGTATCTAGAGATTTGACTAGACTTAGGTAGGGTTTTTTTTTGGCAAAACTAATTGACAGGTGGCGAGAAAACCCTTGATCGGGAAGCACATACTATCTGGTTGTCTTTCTTTTTGCAGGTTTTTTTTGTTTGTTTGTTTTTTGAGACAGGTTCTTGCTCTCTTGCCCAGGTTGTAGCACAGTGGCATCATCATAGCTCACTGTAACCTTGGACTTCTGGGCTCAAGAAATCCTCCCACCTTATTCTCTTGAGTAGCCAGGACTTAAGGTGTGCACTGCTGCACCCTGCTAATTTTTATTTTTTGTAGAGACAGGAGTGTTGCTATATTTTCCAGGCTGGTCTTAAAACTCCTGGCCTCAAGTGATCCTCCCACCTTGGCCTCCCAAAGTGGTGGGATTACAGCCACCACACCCCTGGCCTTTTTTCAGTGTTAGTGATTGTCAGTGTTCCGTGTCTAGATCAACTGGCTCATTAGAGGTTGCTATAAAGGCTTAAGTGCATTTCTAACCAGCTGTCAGGAAGTTGCTGAATTTAAAATGTCTCTGTGGAGCCAGAAGATAGGCTTTAGATAGTCATAGTGATGTCTTTTTTAAAAAGTCTCTCTCTTTACCTAGGAAAACCCTTTTGTAACAATGAGACCTTCGGCCAGTATCCTCTTCAGGTAAACGGTTATCGCAACTTAGACGAGTGTTTGGAAGGGGCCATGGTGGAGGGTGATGTTGAGCTTCTTCCCTCTGATCACTTGGTGAAGTATGGACAAGAGGTACGTTGGAGATCTTTATTTGCTGTGCCAGTGACAAAGCCAGTTAAGTAGGAGTGAGCTTTTGGGCAGACTAGTTTCCCATCACATATTAAGTAACTTTAAACTTAGAGCTTGAATTTGTCTCTCATCAGTTGATGTGAGTCAGTGAGTATTAGTATTTTGATAAATAAAATTTTTACTAAAACTATGAATTTGAGTTACTCGTGTAAAGGTTGTATGCTGCTTCTGATGTTTTAAGTATGATCAAGTTTCTCTCTTTCTGTTGAAGCCTACCTGTACCTGAGTAGGGAGAACCCACTGCCTCCATATTTTCGGAGGGTAAAAGTACAGTGATTAACTCCTATGGTATGCCATTTAGAATATTTTCCCTATTATAGTGTTTACTGTTCTCAATTGTAAATTCTGCCTTTGCTTTGAACATTTTTAAAATTTAATTTTCATTTGTTTATCTATTTTTGTGGGTTGGAAAGAAAGGGGGCAAGTTATAGGGAGAGTATGGATAGTTAACATCTCAATATTCATTACAGTTGGGTTAAGAATTATTGAATAGCATTTGTAACATAATTCTTAACACTACACAGTTGGGATTGTTCTTCACCGATCATATGTTTTGAGACAAAACTGTGGCTTATATATGAGTCCAACTCATTAATTACTATAGGAGATGGTGGAGCTTTCCTGAACTGAAACAGGTAGCCTAACATGGGCCGTATGAAAATACATTCGCTGTAGAGCAGTGTTGGAACTCAGAGAGAGCTACTGCCTCCCTGGCTTTTCAAGGAAATAACTGATTCCTAATGGAGGAATTATGTCATCTGTACCATCTGTGCAGAAGACCTGGTGCACCCTCTTAGAAAAGAGGGAATGTTCACCAGCTATACTTAGACCTGTGGACACCTGTATTCTAGGATGGGAACTCTATAAAAATTAAACAGAAACAAACAAAATCATCATGCTTATTTAGATTTCACCTTGAAGTGGTCTCACAGGCTATCTGAATTCACCTCATTATGTTAACAGGGTATCTGAAGGGAATGCTGCTTGCACTTTTGGTAAAGGGAACATTTTAAAGCTGTTCACAGGAACCTCAGACATATGAGTGAATTGAATAGAAAAGCCAGTTCTGATTTAGCTTTCCCTCACCTGTGATCCTTGACTGTTGAGTCTTTTTTTGTCAGTACCTCCCTTTCTTGAAACTCAATTAACATTGTAGGTTGATTTAACTGGCTTCTTTATGAGACCTCTGTGAATTTTTGGAATTCAGAAATTTTTCTTAGAAATTGAGAAATTATAAAACCAACTTTCCTTTGTATACATAAAGGAGATTCAAATTATGGTTAATAGACTAAACAAACAGCATGCAATATATATACTCATATGAGTCTTTGTAGCTGACCTGTGGAGTTAGTTTTCACTTCAGCTACATGCTGCTTAGATAATAATTTCATATTCTGCAATAAGGCTTGCTGTTTTCTTAAGTTTTTAAACCTCTTTTGAATACTGATGATGTAATGAATGAGGCTTAGTGCACTTCACAAATTCAAGGGTGGTTTATTCTGAGGATGATGATTGAGTGAAATGTTGACTGGCTAGTAAATTTGGAGTCTTGAGGAATGTTGAACCATATTCTCTAGAGTGTGATTCTAAGTTTTCATTTCCTTTAGTGTTAAACTTCTAGCATGAGCTTGACTTGAGTATAAGTTCTATACCAAAGGAAGAAAGTTTGATGAGGGATATTTTAAATCTGGCTATTGTTGTTTCCTAAAATTAATTTTTCTTTCTCTCACATTTCTACTCTTAACACTAGCGTTGGTTTACAAAGCTACCTCCAGTGTTGACCTTTGAACTCTCAAGATTTGAGTTTAATCAGTCCCTTGGTCAGCCAGAGAAAATTCACAATAAGCTGGAATTTCCTCAGATTATTTATATGGACAGGTGAGTTCTTGGCTGATTTTTTTTTTCCTGGCTGATTTCTTTTTTTTTCCTGACCATCACAGTCAAGATGTAGGACATATCCAATACCCAGAAGATATTCCTTGCTCTATTGTGATCAATCCCTTTCTCTCCATCCCCAGGTCCTGGCAACCACTTACTTGTTTTTAGACCCTATAATGTTACAGTTTATAGAATGTGGTATTAAGTGACATTGATATTTAGTAGGTACCCTGCTGTGGCTATGTCCTTTCTTTAGGATAATGTTTTTGGGATTCACCCATGTTGTTCATATATAAGTAATTTGCTCCTTTTTATTGCTGAGTAATATTCTAGCGTAATATGTACTGTTTTTTCCATTCACCATTTGGTGAGGTATTTGGTTTTAGGCTATTATGAATAAAGCTGCCATGATCATTCACATATAATCCTTGGCATAGTTTTTAGTTCTCATGGGTAAAATATGTAGGAGTAGGATTGCTGGTTCTATGAGAAGTGTATATTTAACATTATAAGAAATTTCCAAACTATTTTCTAAAGGGACTGTACAATATTGCATTCCCTCTAGGAGTGTATGAGGGCTCCATTTGCTCCACATCCTTGCCAGTGCTTGGAATTATAAGTGTTTCTAATTTTAGCTATTTAGTGAGTGTGTAGGAATATCTTCTTTTTCCTTTGATTTATATTTCCTTTTCTCCCATTGAATTACCTTGGCACTTTGTCAAAAATGAATTGAACATGTATTTGGGGATCTATATCTGGAGTCTGTTCTATCTGTTGTTTGGTCTAATGCCAATGCCATATTGTTTTGATTACTATGGTTTTATTGCAAATTTTGACATTAGATAGTATGAATCTTCCAACTTTGTTCTTCTTTTTCAAAATTGTCTTAGCTATTCTGGTCCTTTGCATTTCTAAATAAACTTTTATCAGCTTGTCAGTTTCTAACCAGTGGCTATTGAGATTTTGATTGGTGCTGTTTTGAACTAATAGATCAGTTTGGGGAGAACTGACATCTTAATTATATTGAGTCCTTTGGCTGAGCTCAGTGGCTCACGCCTGTAATCCCAGCACTTTGGGAGGCTGAAGCAGGTGGATCACCTAAGGTCAGGAGTTCGAGACCAGTCTGACCAACATGGTTGAAACCCTGTCTGTACCAAAAATAATAATAATAATAATTATCTGGGCGTGGTGGTGAGCACCTGTAGTCTCAGCTACACAGGAGGCTGAGGCAGGAGAATTGTTTGAACCTGGGAGGCAGAGGTTGCAGTGAGCTAAGATAGCACCATTATACTCCAGCCTGGGTGACAAGAGTGAGACTCTGTCTCTAATAATAATGATAATAATAATAATATTGAGTCCTTCAATCCATGAATGGTGTGTAGCTTCATTTATTAAATAAATTAATAAAGATTTATTTAAGGCCAGGCGCGGTGGCTCAAGCCTGTAATCCCAGCACTTTGGGAGGCCGAGGCACGTGGATCACGAGGTCAAGAGATCGAGACCATCCTGGTCAACATGGTGAAACCCCGTCTCTACTAAAAATACAAAAAATTAGCTGGGCATGGTGGCACGTGCCTGTAATCCCAGCTACTCAGGAGGCTGAGGCAGGAGAATTGCCTGAACCAGGAGGCGGAGGTTGCGGTGAGCCGAGATCGTGCCATTGCACTCCAGCCTGGGTAACAAGAGCGAAACTCCATCTCAAAAAAAAAAAAAAAAATTTATTTAAGTCCTTGTTAATATCTTTCAGTGTTTTGTAATTTTTAGTGTACAGGTCTTGCACACATTTGATTAAATTTATCTCAATTCATGCTTTTAATTTCTTTTTCATTTGTTCTTTTACAAGTGTATGGAATTGCAGCTGAGTTTTTTTTTTGTTTTTTTTTTTTTTTTTGAGATGGAGTTTCACTGTTGTTGCCCAGGCTGGAGTGCAATGTGCGATCTTGACTCACTGCAACCTCCGCCTCCCAGGTTCAAGTGATTCTCCTGCCTCAGCCTTCTGAGTAACTGGGATTACAGTCATGTGCCACTATGCCTGGCTAATTTAGTGGAAATGGGGTTTCTTCATGTTGGTCAGGCTGGTCTCAAACTCCTGACCTCAGGTGATCCACCTACCTCAGCCTCCCAAAGTGCTGGGCTTACAGGTGTGAGCCACCATGCCTGGCCTTTTTTTTTTTTTTTTTCCTTTTTTCACATTGACTTTGTATCCTTTGACTTTACCAAACTCACTTATTAGTTCTGATGTATTTTTTTAGGTTTCTTGAAATTTTCTGCATAGACGCTTATATCATGTGGAACTAAAGGGCAGCTTTAATTCATTCTTTACTATTTGCATGCCTTTAATTTGTTTTTCTTACTTTATTGCATTGGTTATACCTTCAGTTAAACATTGAATAGAAGTAGCAAGAATGAGTGTCCTTCTTCCTAATCTTGGGGGGAATGCATCAGTCTTACTCTTAGGTATAATGTCAGCTGTATGTTTTTCACAGATGCCCTTTATCTGATTGAAGAAGTTTCCTTGAATTTTTAGTTTATTGAGATTTTATGTTATTAATGTTGTTAAATATAAATTGTGTTTGTGGTATTATTTACGTAGGTACATGTACAGGAGCAAAGAGCTTATTCGGAATAAGAGAGAGTGCATTCGAAAGTTGAAGGAGGAAATAAAAGTTCTGCAGCAAAAATTGGAAAGGTGAGTTGTGGACACCTTCATGCTTAGAAATGTAAAAGACAAGAGTAGAATATTAAAAACAGATAATTTGTTTTTATTTAAAAATTAACTGAAAGTTTAAATATTAACTAAGAGTATTTTATAAAATAGCCAAGAAAATTTTTTGTCTAATGTGGAGCAATCTTCAAGATCAGCTAGCATTATTCATGGGGGTAAATAGTAGTCCCAGAGTACTTAAGTGATCCAAAGTCACACAGTTAGTTATTGCAGTGTGCTAAGGAGAACCTGAGTTCTGATTTTATAGCCTTTTACTTTTTCTACTCCCTTTGCCATCTTTTTCACAAATATGAGAGAGGCAAGTGTCACAACGGTCCGGTCCACTTTTGGAAAAGCAGTTTCTGAAGTGTCTAAGAAAGATAAAAAAACAGTGCTTTTCTACCTAGAGCAGTGCTAACTGATTAAAAGGGCTAATATTTCTGATGCATATAAAGTTCTTTCTCTTTTGGAGGAATTTTTCCTTTTCTGATTGTTGGTTTTACACTATTTCTGTGGAATGATTTTCTGTGATTTCCTTAGGAGTCCATATAATTTCTTTCTAGTCTAGATAGATCCCACTGATTTTGCACTTAAGGAAGAGATCCCATACACAGTCAGTGGCTTATTCTGCCTTTATCCACTTAACAGTTTTCTTTCTATGATCGCCCGACCTCTACCCACTCCCTTATTAGGCCATTAATTTCCCTCAAGGGCAACACTTTCCCTACCAGGCCTAAGATGGACCCTGCACTGTACCCCCACTGCTCCTTCATCTTTCTCTCATTCCAGAAGAGCTTATACAAGATGTGATTAGTCATCTGTCTTAGTAAAGACTTAAGCTGGAAACTGGTTCCTCAGATACTGTCCTGGAAGTGATTTACAGAACTAAGTGTGGCAGTATTTTACTTTAAAGGTTTTACTTTGTAAGGCTGGAATTTAAAAACTATTATTATTATTATTATTTATTTATTTTTTTTTTTTTGAGACGGAGTTTTGCTCGTTACCCAGGCTGGAGTGCAATGGCGTGATCTCGGCTCACCGCAACCTCCGCCTCCTGGGTTCAGGCAATTCTCCTGCCTCAGCCTCCTGAGTAGCTGGGATTACAGGCACGGGCCACCACGCCCAGCTAATTTTTTGTATTTTTAGTAGAAACGGGGTTTCACCATGTTGACCAGAATGGTCTCGATCTCTTGACCTCGTGATCCACCCGCCTCGGCCTCCCAAAGTGCTGGGATTACAGGCTTGAGCCACCGCACCCGGCCCTTAAAATTATTTTTATAGAACCAACCATACCAGCTGAATGCAGTACCATGTACCTGTAATCCCAGCTATATGGGAGGTTGAGGCAGGAGGATTGCCTGTGCCCAGGAGTTTGAGACCAGCCTGTGCAACACAGAGAGACCTCATCTCTCTCTCCCTCTCTCTCTCTCTTTTTTTTTTTTTTTTTTTGAGATGGACTCTTGCTCTGTGGCCCAGGCCAGAGTACAGTGGCATGATCTCGGCTCACTGCAACCTCCGCCTCTCGGATTCCAGTGATGCTCCTGCCTCAGCCTCCCAAGTAGCTGGAATTACAGGCATGCTCCACCATGCCTGGCTGATTTTTGTATTTTTAGTAGAGATGGGGTTTCACCATGTTGGCCAGGCTGGTCTTGAGCTCCTGACCTTGTAATTTGCCCTCCTTGGCCTCCCAAAGTGCTAAGATTATGGGCGTGAGCCACCGTGCCCAGCCGAGACCCCATCTCTTAACAGCAACAAAAAAGAACCAAGCATACCTGGTGTTTTATAGTTGAAAAATTCTTAATTTTCCAGGAGACAATAGGATATTCTGGATTTTAAAATAAAGCATAGGACCATTTTCCTTAGTATGATAATACTTTTGTTTTAAAATAAAATGAGACCCCTGAGTTGTACCTTCACGAGGCTAGAGGGGCCAGGGAACGTATTACCCCACCTCACACACTCGACCACTGACTGTCCGTATGTCTACCTGACTCCTCAATCTGGATTTTGTGGAACCTGCTCCCAAAAAGGCATTAGAAGGAACTGCGAAGCACCAAATTTTGTCAAGAAATAGCAGCTCTTGGAACAGAGAGGCTTTCTGAATAAAAAGAACCAGCCCCCTAGCAAGGCACCCAAAGCTGCACTCAGAACCTGCAAAGAAAGAAGAAGGTCCTAGGGTGGATGGTACTTGGAAGACCCCTCCCTTCCCAGAAGAGAAGGCAGCTGCCTCCAGCAGTGGGTCAGGGTCAGAACATTCCCTGGACAGGAAAGTTGCAGTGTCTTGGCTATCCCCTTCCCCTTCAAAGAATACTGATTCTGTTGCAGCTAAGTAGATTTGCTGGGGGTGCCGTTCTGAAGATTAATAGCCAACTAACCCACTCCCAAAAGAAAGTGCCCCAGAACAAATCCTCTTAGGTCAGTGCCCCACAGAACTCTACGAAAGCTCACTCAGAATACATGCTTTGCAACATCCCAGAAGTTGCCAAGGAAGAATGGTAGCATTTGGCTGTGAAATGCTGGACACAGGACCCAAGGGGCATGTTACTTTCTTGGCTCCATGTAGCGCTGTCAGCTACAGTGGAGATATGCTTTACGACAAGTACATCATTCTCCCTGGCCACTGGACTGCCAGACCAGGTGGAGTGGTGTCCAGAAGCAGCACATGGTGAATGTCATGCTCTTCAGAATTGCTTGTGACAGATCTTGAAGAGACAGGGAAGATGGTGGGGCTTGCCATCCTCGATGACTTCAAAGCCCTTCAGAACTTTCATCCCAAGTCCCTCACCAGAGACAACTCCCATATCTTCCTCCTCCTTCCCAAATGGAAGGCTGATTACCAGGTGACCAGGTCACCATGTCTTTGAAGCGTCTCATCAAGAAGTTGCTGAACTGGGACATACGGGTTGGGAAAAGCAGGCATTCCTCTGTGAAAGACACCCAGGCCACCACGGAGCTATACAAATTGGTTGAACTTGAATGGGAAGAATACCTTGGCCAGAATTCCCCAAAAGACTGGTGACAGTGGCGATGGTGATGTGGGGAGGCAGAGGCAGCACCAGGAGCAATAGGGCAGTGAACCAATGGGCAGCTCAACCAGGTCTACATCTTTGGAAGCTAAAACTGTTGGCAAGAGAAAACCTCTACTCTAGATTTAATATCCATTGAAATTCCATCTCTGGAGTTATGTCCTGTGTCTGGTTAAGTGTCCCGTGGAAAGAGGAAGCCTCCATGTCAGAACCAGCGCTGTATCCTTTACCTCTTACATGGTGCTGTCCCCAGGTCCCTGGGTGCTCTGTGGCAGTTACCCATTTTGACTTTCAAGGGACAGGGCATACTGGGAAATGTAGTTTCCTATAGTGCCTGATCACTAGGGTGGCTATATGGCTCATTTTGTATCTTTTCTTCTTGAATAATTGACAGCACCCTCTTTTTTTTTTTTTTTTTTTTTTTTTTTTGTGAGACGGAGTTTAGCTCTTGTTACCCAGGCTGGAGTGCAATGGCGCGATCTCGGCTCACCGCAACCTCCGCCCCCTGGGTTCAGGCAATTCTCCTGCCTCAGCCTCCTGAGTAGCTGGGATTACAGGCATGCGCCACCATGCCCAGCTAATTTTTTTTTGTATTTTTAGTAGAGACGGGGTTTCACCATGTTGACCAGGATGGTCTCGATCTCTTGACCTTGTGATCCGCGCGCCTCGGCCTCCCAAAGTGCTGGGATTACAGGCTTGAGCCATCGCGCCCGGCGACAGCACCCTCTTTTATCAGAAGTTTCCTGGTTGGATAATAAATTATATGGTCCCATTTCTAAAACAGCCTCTGCCTTTGGCTCATAGTCTGCATCTAGCCTGTTTTAGGTTTTCACTCATTCTTTCTACCTTGACTGCCAGAGGTGCCATTGTAGGTGAAGTTTAGTTCTCCTTAGGGTTCCAAGGCAGTGAAGGTAAGAGGGTAGCTTGGAAATCAACTTTTCTGATTTAGGAAAGCAATCTCTTTCCTAAGATAATAGAGGTTTTATTTAATGTAGTTGAAACGTCCCAGTTGGTACATTAAAAAAGAATTTATAAAGTGTTTTTAACCCATTTATGCCAGGGGTTGCAATTTTTTTGTGTGAAAAACCAGACCTTGGTGATGATCTTGAGCCGTAGGATATAAATAACTCACATAAGCTTAGGATTCCAGTAATGGAACACTAGGCATAAATGGGTTAATGGTTGCTAAACCAAGCCCCTAAAAACTCTTGATTAATCCCTTGATACATTTTTATAATGGAAAAAATAAAATGACTATAAATTTCAGGCTTTTTTTTTTAAGTTTACACATACCTGCTTGTATATGTGTGACATACCCCTTGGAAAATATAAAAGAAACTTTTATATTTTTTTCGAAATAGAGTTTCACTCTTTTTGCCCAAGCTGGAGTACAACGGCATGATCTTGGATCACTGCAGTCTCTGCCTCCCAGGTTCAGCGATTCTCCTGTCTCAACCTCCCGAGTAGCTGGGTTTACAGGTGTGCACCACCACGCCTGGCTAATTTTTTGTGTTTTTAGTAGAAACAGGGTTTCATCATGTTGGCCATGCTGGTCTTGAACTCCTGACCTCAGGTGATCTGCCCACCTCAGCCTCCCAAAGTGCTGGGCTTACAGGCGTGAGCCACTGCACCCTGCCGAAAGAAACCTAATGCATACCATTAGGTAGTAGAACTGAGGTGGTGGTAGATGGTGTTTATGGTCTGTTTTTTACTTTTCTGTATTTGAATTTTTATACCAGGTACATGCATTACTTTTACTGTTTAAAAATGTTGCCTGGACACAGTGGCTCACGCCTGTAATCCCGGCAGTGTGGGAGGCTGAGGCGGGTGGATTGCTTGAGGTCAGGAGTTCCAGGCCAGCCTGGCCAACATAGCAAAACCCCATCTCTACTTAAAATATTAGGATTAGAAGCCCATTTGAAATGTTTCCTGCCAGATATAAAACTTAAGATTGTTGGCAGTTTTAACTTTTGTAGTTAGAGCATTTTTACCGTATAGATTGTTTGAAAGTGCCCTATTAAATATTGTATAGCCTCTAGGAATAAGCGTTTCCATTGACTCCCTGTGATAAATAGATCTTTTGTCAGCGAATCTTAAAATGCAAAACCAATTTGGGCAGTAGCATACCAGTGTCTTTGCCTCTTAGGTATGTGAAATATGGCTCAGGCCCAGCTCGGTTCCCGCTCCCTGACATGCTGAAATATGTTATTGAATTTGCTAGTACAAAACCTGCCTCAGAAAGCTGTCCACCTGAAAGTGACACACACATGACATTACCACTTTCTTCAGTGCACTGCTCCGTTCCTGACCAGACATCAGAGGAAAGGTAATGAAAAGAGTTTTTTAAAAATAGTATGTATTGTTTTTTTCTGGTATAATTTAAACTATGCACCATCTTTATACCTGATTCACACTCACCTGTAAGAGCACAGGAGCTCGGAGCTCTTTGTTTTAAAGGGAAGGACTTTGTTGACTATCGCTTGGGTGGGAGTGTTCTTAATTGTCACCAATGCATTTGTCTTATCCATAGGATGATTGAGTTATTTCAGAGGCTTCGAGAACTGTCCAGGATAGTGTTCAGGTTGACAAAGGGAGATAAAGTCACAGGAGCCCTCTGATTTTATTCCACTAGCCAACTACAACAATCTCGATAGCCTAGAGCAGCCATGAAAAGTAGCTGGGACATTTGATATGTGTGACCTGGCTAATAAAAACACTAATACCCAATAAAAAGTTAGACAGTTTTGTCAAAAAACCTTAACTATTCTCCCCAACACTCTCCCTACAGGTATTAATATTTATTCATCCATGTATGCATAAAAATGCTTGTTTGGACAGAACATACCAAATGTCAAGAATGATTATCTCTAGGGAGTGACATGAGTCTGGGGATAGGAGTAGGGCTGCTATTTCACTTTTTATATTCTGCTTAGATTTTTGAATTCCTTTTAAAAAATAGAATCTTTTAATGTATATTATGAAATGTAAATTGAATTTTAAAAAGTGGTTCAGCAGGCTATTTAATCAAATAAAATAATAGTGCTTGATATTAGATTTAACAATTATAGGGAAGTTTATGTGTGTAATCTCCTGAAATTGAGCTCTCTGTTCTCTTGTTGGGCTTATTTTTTCATAGGTGTGGACTTTAGGCAAAAGAGATTGCCTCCATTATTTTGTGCATGTGAGAGAGTAGGGAAAAGGGAGTGAGGGTTTTTTTTTTTTTAAGCAAAAGTAGAGAGTTTATATTCTTCAGCTTTGGTGTAAAAGAGAAACCTAACTACAATTAGAAGCTTATTTTATATTCTTGCTGGTTTATTCACCTGCAGTTTTACTCTGTTTGACAATAGGTTAATAGAGAAATTAACATTTACTTTATATGCTTTATTCTGTCAGTTTATAGTAAAGACAAAGAATTTGACATTTATATTTTGTAGGTGAGATATTATTTACCTGAGGAAAAATACTCTTTTCCTGGGGTATTTAGCTAAAGTAGTGGAGCTAGGATTGTCTGACTTGAAGCCCTACTCTCCCAGCTCTCCAGGGTGTCACCTAGTGTGTTCCTGTGAGTTGTATGTTCAGCCAATGCTTTCCTTTTTCTTGCTTCTGTGTATTTTGTTCCTGGATGAATAGTACCACTTTAGTTGGGTTCATCTTGTAAATTCTGTAGTTGATTCCTTAATTCTTGCAGGCCTAGTCTTCTCTTTTCCATCTTCCTCTCTTCCCATCTTCATGAGAAGGAATAATCAGTGATCGTAGAACATGAACTAAAGACTCTGACCGATCTGCCTTTGGATTCCTTTTCTTTACCTACTAGCTTGGTGAACTTGGGCATTGCTTAATTTCTTTAACCTTAGGCTTGCAGTTGGTAAAATAGGGGTAGAATAGTATCTGCCTCACAGGGCAGTTGTGGTACATGAGATGATGTGTATAGAGAAAAGGGTTGACTCCATACCTTTATAGAGTTAATGCTCACTGAATACCTGTACTTTTTCATAAAGCGTCTTGCTTTCCAAAGTACATTAATTTAAGCCAAGATATCTTTTGCAAGTTATCATTATTAACATGATTTTTGTCTTCCTCAGTACGAGTACAGAAAGCTCTTCTCAGGATGTTGAAGGTACCTTTTCTTCTGAAGATTTGCAACACAAGTCTAAACCACTTACATCTTCTCGGTCTTCCATGGAAATGCCTGCACAGCCAGCTCCAAGAACAGTCACAGATGAGGAGATAAACTTTGTTAAGACTTGTCTTCAGAGGTGGAGGAGTGAGATTGAACAAGATATACAAGGTTGGCTCTTTTAAAACTTGTCAGTTACTCTTCCTTTTCTGTTTTTTGACTGTTTGGAGGTTAAGCACCTTGGTATACTTCCTGACATTACTGAACATGGTACAGAATTTTTTTCCTCCAAGATGGAGTCTTGCTGTCACCCAGGCTGGAGTGCAGTGGTGCAATCTTGGCTCCCTGCAACCTCCACCTCCCAGGTTCAGGCCATTTTCGTGCCTCAGCCTCAAGGGATTATAGGCACACAGCACTACACCTGGCTAATTTTTGTATTATTATTATTTTTAGTAGAGATGAGGTTTCACTGTGTTGGCCAGGCTGATCTTAAACTGCTGACCTAAAGTGATTTACCCGCCTTGGCCTCCCAAAGTGCTGGGATTACAGGTGTGAGTCACCACAGCTGACCCATGCTATTGAATTTTGACATGGTAATTGTGGCTTCTTTTATTCTTTTAGTGCCCTGTAAGCTTGGCTCACACACCCTTATTACACAGATGTGGAAAGATCCTCCCTCAGATTTTCTGGGAAATGATCACATTTGCTGGTATTTTTCTGCATCTGCTGATTTCTGTTTCTGTGGTTGTTTATCTAAACCCTGGCTTAAGTTAACCCAGATTTAGCATTTAGCTTTTCTGGACTTCAGCTTTTATGTCTTTTCTATATGAAGCATGCTTTACTGAAAGTTAACAAGGCAGGGTATTTGAGCAGTATGCACAATGTAAAATTGGATTATTCAGCATTGTATTCTTAAAAAGTCTTTTGACCTCATTGCCCAAATTGCTCAAAATAGCCTTACCCCTCCTTCCTTTCTCCTTTTGTCTAGGGAACAAAAAGATGATGGAAATTCCAGATTCTTCCCAGATTCCTATTGAGAGAAATTTAGCCTTACCCTTTGTTCTGTTTTCTCATTTCAGATCCTGTCTGAGACATACATTTTACAGCCAAGTGACCCATTAAGATGTTTTCCTAATGGTTTAATCTTTAAGAAATTTTGGTGCCAGTTATAAAAAATAATTTTTAAAACCTTAATATAATTACATTGAACTAAAAGCCTTCATAACCTAAAGTACTAGCTGCTTTAAAACTGTATACTGTTCCAATGCAAGATACCTGGAAAAAAAAAAAAAAAAGAAACAGAACTATATACTGCTTCGTGGTTCCTAGAGGGAAGCAGAAATCATTAGGACCCTAAGCAGTTTTCTTTGCTTAGTTGTAGTAGCCTGTATGATGTAGAATGAGATCATTTTAATAAAGCTTTTGTTTTCTTTTCCAAACAGATTTAAAGAATTGTATTGCAAGTACTACTCAGACTGTTGAGCAGATGTACTGTGATCCTCTTCTTCGTCAGGTAGAATGAAAATTGATGGGAAAGTGGTCAAGGCATGTGCTAATGGTAGATACAAAAATAAAATTTGATAGTTTTTTTTTAAAACCCATTAGGAATTTCCCTAAGATATAAGAATAAACTTAAGATAGAAATTGATGTTATTCTGTTTATTTTAGGCTAAAGAAAGCAATATATATATATATTTTTACCAGCAACAGGACCTAACACATACTTGTTTGAATTCTGCCACATAGAATTTTTTCATATTGTAGAAAGGTTTGCTGTCAGATTTTAAGAAAAATTACTCACAAAATGGTACTTTAAGTAGTGTAGTGGAAAAAAACTGAACTAGGGATAGTTACCTTTTCTTTCCAAAAGTCCATGATTCTTCAAGATTTTTCATTAGCAACATGCTTTCAAGTTTTATTTCTATAATAATGAATTCCAAAAGGGAGTTGGACAGGACAGAAATTCTTACTCTCTATACAAGTTTTGTTTAGAATAAATTCTGGGAGTGGAGGGAGAAAGAGCCTTCAGGAATCTTTCTGAACCTCTTCTGGTTAGGGGGCATGGCCTTTCCGTGGCTTCTGTGGGAATAGATGGAATGGGTAGAATGGCTGTAGGAGGAGAGCCCTGCTTCTAGAATCCATTGAGGCAGAGTCCTATGGCTTAACAGGAATGCTCCATGTGAAACTCAGGTTTCCCCATTTTTTCTTTTGTGTTACTTCAAAAATCTTCACCAGTAATTGAAGTAGGTCAAAGTACTGATTAAGTGTAAGTTTAATTTGATTCTGTGATTGACTTTAATTTCTTTTTCCAGTATTTAATTAGCATTTAAGAATTGCTCTATTTTCTCCATATTGAAAATATACATATGCGCTTTTCAAATGTTGTAACAAATGTGTCATTAAAAGGGTCATCACTCTAGATAGGTAGGTGATCACTTAACTCTAAGAAGCATGTGGCCTAATTAAATATGTTAACTTAAATTTTAGTGCCAAATAAAACAGATATAGAACAAAATAGCTGCCAACATTGTTTTTGGGTCTCAAATATGCTAAGCATTTTCAGCAAGAGTGGTCAAGGTGATTTTATATTTAGATAAACAAGGTTTTGAATTGGAAGGATGTATATGTTTAGGTTATATTTGGTTTTAGATCTGAGGAGTTTAGAGTTGAATCTTCAGAGAGATCATGTAGTTCAACGATCTGGATTTCAAGATTTGGGAACTGAGACATAATCAACTCCAAGACTGTGTTTTCAGTATTTCATCTTGAATCAACAAGGTGTTTTAATATGAACCCCATATTAATCACATGCATAGTCATTTCTTAATATCAGATTACTTTGCTTCACCTGACTGGGAAATGTACATTCTGACTTACAGGTGCCTTATCGCTTGCATGCAGTTCTTGTTCACGAAGGACAAGCAAATGCTGGACACTATTGGGCCTATATCTATAATCAACCCCGTCAGAGCTGGCTCAAGTACAATGACATCTCTGTTACCGAATCTTCCTGGGAAGAAGTTGAAAGAGATTCCTATGGGGGCCTGAGAAATGTTAGTGCTTACTGTCTGATGTACATTAATGACAAACTACCCCACTTCAATGCAGGTAAAAATATCTTGGCAGAATCTATAGATGGGGGAAAATCTTACTGCTCAGGGAGAAGCACAGTCTTGTACTGCTTTTTAAAAAATTTAAACTACAACTTACTATTACATAATAATACGTTTCAAAAATATAAACAGTATGAAAGGGAATGAAAAGGAAAAACAAGTTTGTTTTACTACTTCCTTCCTTGACCACTGGTCCCACTCCCCAACAAGTATACAGTGTTAGGTTTCTTACGTAGTTTTCAAGACACGTTGTATGCATATGCTAGTTTCTATTTATCTGTGTCTCCCCCTCTTATCCCCATATAGGTTATTTTTTGATTCAACTCTGAACCTTTTTCATTAATTATTTAGCAATCTCTATATATTTAGAAGAAGAATCTACTCATTATTTTTAACAACTATATAATAATTCACTGTATGGAATGTACATATTTTAAAAATTTATTCAACTTGCCTCCCTTAGATATACTTTGTCTCTAGTTATTGTTTTTAGTGACATCTTTCTTTTTTTCTTGCTCCATCTTATGGTGCTGATAGTGACATTTTGTACATATATTTTTGCACCCTTTGGAGAATAACTAAATTTTTTTTTCTTTTTTTGAGACCAAGTCTTGCTCTGTTGCCCAGGCTGGAGTGCAGTGGTGCAGTCTCAGCTCACTGCAACCTCCACATCCTGGGTTCAAGTGATTCTCCTGTGCCAGTCTCCCAAGTAGCTGGGATTACAGGTGCCCACCACCATGCCCAGCTAATTTTTGAATTTTTAGTAGAAATGAAGTTTCACCATATTGACTAGACTGGTCTTGAATTCCTGATCTCAGGTGATCCATCCACCTCAGCCTCTCAAAGTGCTGGGATTATAGTTGTGGGCCACCAAGCCTGGCCCAGAATAACTAAATTTTACAGGTGTACTTGCCTGAATAGTTTCACAGCTGTCATAATACTACTACTCATGCTAAGAGCAAGAATAATTATCATTTATATTGGTACTTTAATGCTGAAAGCATGCTTTCAAACTTTATTTCGCTAAGAACTTACAATTGTAAAAGGGAGGGAGGAAGGTTAGAAAATGTTGTGATCTTCATTTTCCAGCTGGATAACAGGTTCTAAGGGTTCTAAAGTTGACTAATCACATAGTCATTAAATAAATAGCAGTTCCAAGATTCAGATATAATTCTCCAAATTCTGTGGTGTTTTCAACTTACATTATTCTGTCTTCACATCCTCTATGAGAGGTCTTATGATGAGCATTTTGCAGGTAAGGTAATAGGAACTTTTTGCTTTTAGTATTTATACTTTACTGCGTTACATAAGCCCTGGCACAGTGGCTCACACCTGTCATCCCAGCATTTTGGGAGGCTGAGGCAGGTGGATCACGTTAGGCCAGGAGTTGAAGACCAGCCTGGCCAACATGGTGAAACCCTGTCTCTTCCTAAATACAAAAATTAGCCAGGCGTGGTGGTGTACACCTGTAATCCCAGCTACTGGGGAGGCTGAGGCTGGAGAATCGCTTGAATCTGGGAGACAAAGGTTGCAGTGAGCTGAGATTGTGCCACTGCACCCAGCCTGGTCAACAGAGTGAGATTCTGTCCCAAAGCAATCAACACGTAAGGCAGTTCTGTCCAGGCAGCACATTATCTTTATCTTTTTTTTTTTTTTTTTTTTTTTTGAGACCGAGTTTCGGTCTTGTTGCCCAGGCTGGAGTGCAATGGCGCCATCTCGGCTTACCGCAACCTCCGCCTCCCGGGCTCAGGCAATTCTCCTGCCTCAGCCTCCTAAGTAGCTGGGATTACAGGCACGCGCCACCACGCCCAGCTAGTTTTTTTTTTGTATTTTTAGTAGAGACGGGGTTTCACCATGATGACCAGGATGGTCTCGATCTCTCGACCTCGTGATCCACCCGCCTCGGCCTCCCAAAGTATCTTAACGATTTGTTAGTGTGGTTGGGGATTAGGGAATGGATAGAATGATCATTGAACAATAACTGATCTTCACAATTGTGTATTTATGGTGTGAAGGAATGAATAACTGCTTGTGGGAGTTGTTGTAACAGTTGAAATGTACTAGCTGTTGGTAGTTGATAGGAGCCTTGTTATTGTATACACGGTTTATTTTTGTATTATAGAAACAAACAAGTGGTGTCATTTGCTTAGTGAAAAGGCTGACTAATGGCAACCAGTAAGTGAGTGTGTTAATCTGATAGAGGATTTTTATTTTATTTTGGTCACAGGGTTAGAAAATGAAATTTAGTATGTTGTTGATATCCTTACCATTAGAGCCAGGTATTATTGACCATCTAAGCATTGTATCAGATTGCATTCTCATAGTACTTAATTGTGTGAAAGTTAATTATATAAATGTCTTGAAATTCATCTCTAACCTTTTGAAAATGGACATTCTTACCAACCAAATGCTGTGGTTAAATTGATAAAACTGTTTAGCCTGAAATTTTTATTGGCTCTAATGATTTTCTCAATTTCCCTTAAATGGTTGGTATATCCAGTGATTGATTGACAATGACCAGTTTCCAAATCTTTTTTTTTTTTTTTTTTTTTTTTTTTTTTTTTGAGATGGTGTCTCACTCTGTTGCACAGGCAGGAGTGCAGTGGTGAGCTGAGATTTCAGCTCATTGCAGCCTTAGCCTCCCAAGTAGCTGCGATTACAGACACACGTCACCACGCTTGGCTAATTTTTGTGTGTTTTTTCAAAAGGGTTTACAAAAGAGTTTTACCATGTTGGCCAGGCTGGTCTCAAACTCCTACCTCAAGTGATCTGTCTGCATTGGGCCTTCCAAAGGGCTGGGATTACGAGCTTGAGCCACTGTGCCTGGCACACTTTCCAAATCTTTAACTCTGTATTATTCATTCATTTAGCAGATGTTTAATGAGTGCCTACTAAATGTCAGGCACTGTTATCAATTGTTGCTCTTACATTGTCCATACAGGTTGAGCACCCGACATGAGAAAATCCAAAATCCCAAATGCTCCAAAATCCACAAAACTTTTTGAGCACTGACATGATGCTGAAGATGAATGCTCACTGGAGCATTTTGAATTTCAAATGTTGGATTTTCAGATTTGGGATGCTCAACTATAAGTAATGGTGCAGATTTTCCAAAAACTGAAAAAAATTTGAAATCCAAACACTCTGGTCCCAAGCATTTTGGATAAGAGATACTCAGCCTGCATTTCTGATGGATTTTATGTGTATTTTTAGTTAGGAGTAAGTATTTTTAGTTAGGAGTAAAATAAAGATGAAATATCTTGCTTTCTTCCTTTCTAAAAAGGATGTTTTGGTTTCTTATGATCTTTGGATCCTTGTGACCTTTTAACTCTATCTTTGCTTTTCCTCAGAGGCAGCCCCTAATGAGTCAGATCAAATGTCAGAAGTAGAAGCTTTATCTGTGGAACTTAAGCATTACATTCAGGAGGATAACTGGCGATTTGAGCAAGAAGTAGAGGAGTGGGAAGAAGAGCAATCTTGCAAAATCCCTCAAATGGAGTCCTCTACCAACTCCTCATCACAGGACTTCTCTACATCACAAGGTATCTGAGAAGGCATTTATTTCATGCCATACTCCCCTAGCCAGCCCTATGCCCTTCAGATAGCTAAGTCATGCCACAGTCTTCACAGTATATTTCATACGCATTTGTTATGGCAGGCACAACCTAATGGAATTAATTGTGGCATTAGAATGTGATTTCTGATGAAGAGAAGTAGTATCAGAAAGAACTACCTGTGACTTTAACTGTGTGTATGGTTTTGCTTATTTCCCAGGTTATGGGAGAAACTATGATAAGATTAACAGGTAGACTTTATGAAAACCATTCTCCAAAGGTGATCTTCCTAACAGATGCTTGTTTGTAGAAAGTTTTCTTAATGTATAGAAATATGACAAAGTTGAGTGTGCATTAATTTTACAGACTTATCAGTGGGTTCAAAGTTTACATACTTTATCAGAGTTCTTGCTGAAGTAGCCATTTCTTGTAGTTACTGATTTCTAGGGAAAACCTGCATAGGTTTTGTAAAAAGCTGTTAGCAGGGTTGTATATTAAACTGTATCCATTCTGCTTGCTTTTTATCTGAGTATTCTAGACTATGTATCATCAGATGCTAAGACCTTTGTATAATTCTTTATCAGAGCCTTCAGTAACCTCTTCTCATGGGGTTCGCTGCTTGTCATCTGAGCATGCTGTGATTGTAAAGGAGCAGACTGCCCAGGCTATTGCAAACACAGCCCGTGCCTATGAGAAGAGTGGTGTAGAAGCGGCACTGAGTGAGGTGAGAATGACTGGGAAGCCCACGTTCAGGAGGGCCGGGCTTTCAGCAGCAATGGTCAGTTTTCTTACATTTCTTTTATTCTGTGTCTCTGCTGCATTTAACCAACCCCTTTTTATTTCTCCTGTTTTTTCTTACTCTTTCTCCCTATTCTGCCGCCACAGCTTAAAGAAGCTGAACCCAAGAAGCCCATGCCCCAGGAAACAAACTTTGCAGAGCAGTCAGAGCAGCCTCAAAAGGCTAATGATGCAGAGTCTACTGCCCAACCTAATTCTGAGGTCTCTGAAGTCGAGATTCCCAGTGTGGGAAGGATTCTGGTTAGATCTGATGCAGATGGATATGATGAGGAGGTACAGAGATGAGTGCAGGATTTAGCTGTTTGTTGTTGGTCTTCTATTTCCTTCTCTTGTTACTATATTAAGGTACCTGCCAATAGCTGATATTTTCTCATTGCAACAAATAATTGTCAAGAAAGCCTAGTTTTGACCTTATGAAAGATAGTCGTGTTTCTGTTGTTAGCACTCCCAGCACGTGTTTATCTACCCAGGCTTGTACTTAATGGGGCCACTGCAGAGTCTAGATTGCTCAGAAAGGTAAAATTTAGTTCCCTTTTTGTGATTTTGGACGAAAGCTTGCCTTCTAATTTAAAGTAGGGAATCTTTGTTTTGGATATTAGTCCATTGTTTTTTCTCCAGATATAAATTTTTCAGTTGTACAGTGGGCTGAACAAATGTGGATTTAAGTTATTTTTAGTTCTAAAGCTTTAGGAAGAAGTTATAGAACCCCAAGTTATTTGTTGTCTGTCTCCTCTTCAGTTGCACTGCACGTAAATAGTAATGAATTCTGTTTCTCAGATTTCTTTCTTTTTTTTTTTTTCCTGTGGGGTATTTAAAACAAACAAACAAAAATCCTTGAAAAGATAATCCTGTGATTTCCAGGCTCATGCCTGTAATCCCAGCCCTTTGGTAAGCCAAGGTGGGTGGATCAACTGAGGTCAGGAGTTTAAGACCAGCCTGGCTGACGTGGTGAAACCTGTTTCTACTACAAATACAAAAATTAGTAGGGTGTGGTAGCGCACACCTGTAATCACAGCTACTTGAGAGGCTGAAGCAGGAGAACTGCTTGAACCTGGGCGGCAACAGTTGCAGTGAGCCAAGATCACACCATTGCACTCCAGACTGAGGGACAGAACGAGACTCCATCTCCAAAAAACAAAAAATCTTTGAAAGTTTTCACTTTGTGGAGTCATATTTATATAGTCCCTAGTTTCCAGACTGTTTTAAATGCACTGTTCATCCTAGTACAACTGTAAAGTATTTGTGTGTTTAAGATATACACCCATAGTACAGAACTAAATTGGAATTCTGACCTTAGACACTTCCCCTCCGGGAACTATAATTTAACTTAATTCTTCAGCAGTGCCATATTGGGAGATATATTTAGGCATACATCTTTCTTCATCCTACTAAATTAGAACATATAGTTTAGGAATAGCTTGTCTTGGGCAGGGTGTTGACATTATCTAGAAGGACAGAAGTGGGTGCGCATAGGAACACTGCTCTGCTGCCCTTTAGCACCCTGTTCAGCCTGCTTTCGTACAGTCTTCTGCTGAACCTTTCTTCTCTCCTTTTTCTCTGTGTTTTGTGCCCCTTTGTGGTAGGTGATGCTGAGCCCTGCCATGCAAGGGGTCATCCTGGCCATAGCTAAAGCCCGTCAGACCTTTGACCGAGATGGGTCTGAAGCAGGGCTGATTAAGGTATCTCTGTTTTTAAAATTCTAATTCTTACAACACAGGCGTCATAATATTGGGGAAATAATTCTGTAAGAAGAGAAAAAATGGGATTAAGGCTGGGTGTGGTGGCATGTGCATGTAGTCCTAGCTACTTAGGAGGCTGAGGTAGAGGATCACTTGAGCCCAGGAGTTGGAGGCTGCAATGCACTTCGATTGCACCACTGCACTCCAGCCTGGGCAACCTAAGAGATCCCATCTCTTTAAAAAAAAAAAAAAAAAAGTCTGGGCATAGTGGCTCACACCTGTAATTTAGCACTCTGAGAGGCCCAGGAGGGAGGCTTGCATGAAGCCGGGAGTTCAAAACCAGCCTGGTCAACATAGTGAGACCCCCATCTCTACTATGGAATTTTTTTTTTTTTTTTAATTAGCTGGACATGGTAGCATATGTCTATAGTCCCAGCTAATTTGGAGGCTGGGGCAAGAGGATCATTTGAACCCAGGTCTTAAAGGCTGCAGTGAACCATGATTGTGCCACTACATTCCAGCCTGGGTGACAGAGTGAGACCCTGTCTCCAGAAAATTAAAAAAAAAAAAAAAAAAAAGGTCTTCTGTGAAGTGAAACATGAAACTCCCTTTTCTGTCCAACTTATGAACAAGCTGTTTTCTTCACTTGACACTAACCCAGCCTTGGCTAGCAGGAACACTCAGTGACACGTAGCCTGGAGGGCTTTTCATTGTTCTTAGGAGTTGTCTGTTAGTAACAACTGGGTTAATTTTGAGACCATAATATAACAAAGTAGTCCATGTTTTTAAAAATACTTGAGTAAAATTGCATTTGTTTAGATGCTTAAAGTTTAAGTCATTGACACACAAGTATTTGCCTTTTATAACAATGAAAACTAAATGTATTATTTTCTGAGAACTTTATGAGAAAACTGAATTTCTTAAGAGTATGATGGACTGGGCCCTGCGGCTCATGCCTGTAATCCTAGCACTTTGGGAGGCCCAGGTGGGCAGATTGCTTGAGCTCAGAAGTTCCAGACCAGCCTGGGGAACATGGTGAGACCCTATCTCTACAAAAAAAATACAAAAATTAGCTGGGCATGGTGGTATGTGCCTATAGTCCCAGCTACTTGGGAGGCTGAGGTGGGAGGATCACCTGAGCCCAGGTGATCATGCCACTGTTCTCCAGCTTGGGTGACAAAGCAAAATCCTGTCTCAAAAAAAAGTATAGTATGTTTTTGGTGCCAGGATGTTGAAAGAGTTTCACTCCTTATGAAATGAAAGCAACTTAAAGATTCCATAGTTGCTTTTGTAATTCCTCAATAAAAATTTTTAGAAGTCTTTTTAGAGTTAAGAGACTGCCTAGCTCCTAGGCATCAATTTCTGTGTGCAGAAGCCCACAGCACACTCTTTTTCTAACTATTGATTCTGTCCTTAATAGGCATTCCATGAGGAATACTCCAGGCTCTATCAGCTTGCCAAAGAGACCCCCACCTCTCACAGTGATCCTCGACTTCAACATGTCCTTGTCTACTTCTTCCAAAATGAAGCACCCAAAAGGGTAGTAGAACGAACTCTTCTGGAACAGTTTGCAGATAAAAATCTTAGCTATGATGAAAGGTGAGAAGAGAACATTCAGGTGACTCACTCCTTTGTCTGGGTCAGGCTAGACCAACTCCTCTGTTGGGAAAGTTTTGCCCGGTACCCTTTCATTGTTTTCTGAACTTTGTCCCATACAGATCAATCAGCATTATGAAGGTGGCTCAAGCGAAACTGAAGGAAATTGGTCCAGATGACATGAATATGGAAGAGTACAAGGTGAAGTCTTTTCTTTAAATCTGTAGAGCAAAAACATTAATTCCTGAGGTAAATGGTACCTGAGGCAAAATTAGCAATGGTAAACGGACTTGTTCTCCCACTTTCCCCCCAAAAATCCTGGTAAAGAATGGATAAATGATATTTTCTTGCCCTCAGAATAGTAGGTCTCCTTATTTTCATTCTTCTATTAGGGTGAATCAACACTTCACTTCCCTTAAATACCTATTTTAGCCTTGTCCTAGGCAGTAAAATTCTTGTAATTGTGCTTTTGGTTTGTTTTAAATGATACAGTTTTTAAAATATACATTAAAGTTTATACATAGTTGTACATTTTTTCAACTGCGTTCTATGTAAAACAATGTTATGTACCACCCAAGGCATATCCGCCACACTTCCTGAATTTGAACGTTGCTCTGTATGATTAGAAATGGCCATGTCTTTCCATTATTTTCCGTTATCTGGATGGTTTTACCAGTGTTGATGAAGTCCTTCGCTTAAGCTAGAGCTGAATGTCTTTGACATAGCTACCAGAAGTTAAGATAAGTTCCAAAGCTTGTAGGAAATAAACACTTCTGTTACTCAAGTGAAAGGAACAGAACATTGAAAATTAAGATCAGTGGTATACTTTTATTTTAAATGTTGAGTAGGTTTTTATCTGAAAACTTTTGTGTTTGTTATTTTTGTGGCTACATGGATGTGCTCAGTAAATGTTTGTAATGAATTTAAAACTTAGGTGGAAAGGGCACTAAAAATTTATGATAATAATTATTAATAGTAGTCATTCTTTTTCAGAAGTGGCATGAAGATTATAGTTTGTTCCGAAAAGTATCTGTGTACCTCCTCACAGGCCTAGAACTCTATCAAAAAGGAAAGTATGTTGACCTTTTAATTTACTAAGGTTGTTAGTCAGGATGCTGTTCTCTGTAGATGCCCACCTGGGAATACTGAGAGCCACAGCCATGCATAACCTCTCTTGTCATATACACTAGTGTGTGTGCCTCTTCCAGTGCTTCAGTTTTGCTCTAAACATCACACGTGGCTTTTTATCCTTCACATAATGAGATGTATTAGCTGAGAGATATATTGTGCCAGACTGTTTTTGTGGTCAATGAAGATGCTCAGAAAATGAATTTTTGAGTTGACATGGACCCCAGTGAGCATGCTTTGTTTTAGAGATGGGAAAAACGGAGGCACAGGGAAGTTTCATGATTTGCTTTGGGTGGACTGGCCAATTTGTAGAAGAGCTGGCCCTTGACTTTTTGTCTCTGGCCCTTGACTTTTTTGTAATTGCAGCCAAGTAGGTTCTTGAAATGGGGAAAAGTGAGGTCTAACGCCTAGATTTTGGTAAAAGAGCACTCAGCTGTTGTTTGTCTCCCATTTTCTAAGGTACCAAGAGGCACTTTCCTACCTGGTATATGCCTACCAGAGCAATGCTGCCCTGCTAATGAAGGGGCCTCGCCGGGGGGTCAAGGAGTCCGTGATTGCTTTATACCGAAGGAAATGTCTTCTGGTTTGTACTGATTGTAAAGTCTTAAGGTTTTTTTTTTTTGTTTACCTCTGCTCCTTGAAAAGACATGACTTTAAAAACAAAATATCTCCAGCAGCTTTTAGATTTTTCTTCCCCCTAATTCTCATGAACAGTTTTACATTGGAACAGGTTTTTTGTTTTGTTTTGTTTTGTTTTTTCCGGTTACTTTTAGTGAATGCCATTCATCTTCAATGATAACTGATAGAAGTTAAGATGAGAATTAGTCATCCCTCTGTGTGCCCTTCATGTATGCCAGCATTAAAGATTTTATCACATTGCTTTCCTACCAGGTTGCAGGTTCCGTGAGCACAGATACTTTTCTCACTCAGCCATTTCCTCTGTGACTGTCATGTAGGAAGTGTGTAATAAATACTGTGTGGAAGGAATGCAGTATTTTTTCCGTGTTCACTTTTAAGCTGGTAGATGAAAGTTTTAGTGACTTCTAAGACACTTCGTTTTTTTTGGTTTTTTTTTTTTTTTTAAGAAAAGTAGGAACCATAAGAACTGGTCCTGCTGTTCTGATAACATCATTGTCATACTAGTGAAGACTAACTCTCTCCTGGCCTGATTTGTGCTGTATAGTCACATGGAAAGGCAAACCTATATCCCCTTGCCTCCCCAGGGGTTTATGTGATACTTGTCCTTCAGAGAATTGTAAAGGGGTAGCCTGCCTTCAGATTCTGTGCTTGTGTGTATTTTCCCCTATACCCAGCAAATTTGCCCTTCACAGAAGACAAGCCAATATTTTTAGTACTGCCTTGGCCTTGTTCATACTGAATGGGTAAGATTAGGTCATGATATACACTCAATAACTTTATTTTCTGATTTACACGTTGACAACTGTATTAGTTATAGGTGTGGCAGGGCCACTTTGAAGCTGAAAAAGGGATCTTGTTGGTTTGATGGATCTGAATTTTATTAGAGTCATGTTTCTATATTTTAAATTACCAAATAGATTGACATTTTTGAATATCCTACCCAGCTTCTGTAGTAATGCAGTAATAGGGATTTAGACTCTTTCCATTATTGGATCCCAACCCCTAGTGTGCATCAGAATCATATAGGAACTTTCAGACAGTCGTGAAGCTCAGGCCCCTCCCTAGACAATTAAACCAGAATCCATAGGAAGGGGCCTGGGCATCAGTCTGTCTTCTGTAGGTGATTCTGGTGTTCGGAGGAGATAGAGAACCAGTTAACCAGTCTTTGGTTGAAACACGTGTTAAGCAGGACCTTGCCTTACAAGTTTAGGCCATTGCTTTATAAACTTTGCTGCATTAGAATCACTTTGGGAGCTTTCGTAAAATCCCTAGTCCTGGTCGTCTGAATACTAATTAAATCAGCGTATCAGGAGTAGCAACCAGACATCAGTAGTTTTTAAAGATCCCTAAGTGCATCTAATGTGCAGTAAAGTTTGGGAACTGCTTGTTTAGATTGTTACTAAAGAGATATTTACCTTTTTCATACTTTTCCCCACCTAATTCTACCTTTTAACTGTAGGAGCTGAATGCCAAAGCAGCTTCTCTCTTTGAAACAAATGATGATCACTCTGTAACCGAGGGCATTAATGTGATGAATGAGCTGATCATCCCCTGCATTCACCTTATCATTAATAATGACATCTCCAAGGATGACCTGGATGCCATTGAAGTCATGAGAAACCATTGGTGCTCTTACCTTGGGCAAGATATTGCAGGTATATGCTCTTGCTAATAAAGTTCTAAGGTTTTGAGAATTCTAGAAATTACAGTGTTCTCACTTGATAGTACTGGTTGCCAAAGCTTTTTAAGGAATTGGAACCTCCTAGCATGTAAATAAGTTAAAAATGGATCTGCTTTATTGAAACAAAGGAAGGGAGCCTGGGCCTTTGCCCCTTTTAATCTCCCTTTAGCTTCCCCGTGACTGTTAAGTCACCTCCATAGGCAACCAACAAGCCCGGTTTGAAAAACATCACTGCTCTCCAGGAATGTCAGACTCCTACTCTTTCATGTGCCAAAAGACAAATGCTTTTATAGTTTAAAAATCAAAATCTGGCTGGGTGCAGTGGCTCACTCCTGTAATCCCAGAACTTTGGGAGGCCGAGGGGGGCGAATCACCTAAGGTCAGGAGTTTAAGACCAGCATGGCCAACAAGGTGAAACCCCATCTCTACTAAAAATATAAAAATTAGCCGGATGTGGTGGTGGGCACCTGTAATCCCAGCGACTTGGGAGGGTGAGGCAAGAGAATCACTTGAACCTTTGGGCAGAGGTTGCAGTGAGCTGAGATAGCACCCTTGCAGTCCATCCTGGGCCATGGAGCAAGACTCCAACTAAAATTTAGAAAAAAAAAAAAAAAATCAATCTACGTATGTAGAGTATGGTTATGGGAGGGTGCCTTGACTAAGTTTTTCTGTGGCTTGAAGTTATATTAACTATGATGACTTCAAGGTTAATTAATTGTGGAATATCCTTGGTTGTTTAAACCATCTTCAGGAGGGAACCTAAAGCTGATTGTTTTTAGGTGAGGTCAGCAGACTTGGAAAATGGTTATATATTCTGATATGAATCCTCTTTTGTTAATTTCTCACTGATATTCCATTGATGGGGCTGGGCACAGTGGCTGACACCTGTAATCCCAGCACTTTGGGAGGCTGAGGTGGGTGGCTCACTTGAGTCCATGAGTTCGAGACCAGCCTGGGCAGCATAGTGAGACCCTTCATCTACAAAACATGACAGATTAGCTGGGTACAGTAGTATGCACCTGTAGTCCTAGTTTCTCAGGAGCCTAAGGTGAGAGGATTGCTTGAGGCTACAGTGACCTGAGACCTTTCTGTTGCATTCCAGCTTGGGCAACAGAGTGAGACCCTCTCTCTTAAAAAAAAAAAAAAAAAAAAAAAGATAATTCCATTGACTTGTTCAAATGTGTAAGTTGATAGTATTTATTTAAAAATTCTGGGCTGGCCGGGCGCGGTGGCTCAAGCCTGTAATCCCAGCACTTTGGGAGGCCGAGGCGGGTGGATCACGAGGTCAAAAGATCGAGATCATCCTGGTCAACATGGTGAAACCCCATCTCTACTAAAAATACAAAAAAATTAGCTGGGTATGGTGGCACGTGCCTGTAATCCCAGCTACTCAGGAGGCTGAGGCAGGAGAATTGCCTGAACTCAGGAGGCGGAGGTTGCGGTGAGCCGAGATCGTGCCATTGCGCTCCAGCCTGGGTAACAAGAGCGGAACTCTGTCTCAAAAAAAAAAATTCTGGGCTGGACACGGTGGCTTATGCCTGTGATCCCAGCACTTTGGGAGGCCGAGGTGGGCGGATCACAAGGCCAGGAGTTTGAGACCAGCCTGGCCAATATAGTGAAAACCCATCTCTACTAAAAATACAAACATTAGCTGAGCATGGTGGTGGGCACCTGTAGTCCTAGCTACTTGGGAGGCTGAGGCAGGAGAATCACTTGAACCCTAGAGGTGGAGGTTGTGGAGAGCCGAGATCACACCACTGTACTCCAGCTTGGGCAACAGAGCAAGACTCCATCTCAAAAAACAAACAAATTCTGGGCCAGGCATGGTGGCTCACGCCTGTAATCCAAGCACTTTGGAGGCCCAAGGTGGGTGGATCACCTGAGGTCACGAGTTCAAGACCAGCCTGACCAACATGGTGAAACCCCCGTCTTTATTTCATTAAAAAAATGTTTAAAAATTCTTTAAAAAAAAAAAAAATTCTGTAATGACTAGTTGCCATGTCTTTTCCTTTACTGTCTTCAGTTTTTATTTAGTCCAAGCTTGTCCAACCTGAGGCCCACACAAATTTGTAAACTTTCATAAAACATTATGAGATTTTTTTTTTTTTTTTTTTTTTTTTTTTTTTGTGAGACAAAGTCTCACTCTGTTGACCAAGCTAGAGTGTAGTGACACAATCTCGGCTCACTACAACCTCCACCTTCCAAGTTCAAGCAATTATCCTGCCTCAGTCTCCCAAGTAGCTGGGACTTCCACCAGGCCCAGCTAACTTTTCTGTATTTTTTATTAGAGGTTTCACTATGTTGGCCAGGCTGGTTTTGAACTCCTGACCTTTCTGAGCCACCCACCATGGCCTCCCAAAGAGCTAGGATTACAGGCATGAGCTACCACGCCCAGCCATTTTTTTTTTTTTTTAACTCATCAGCTATTGTTAATGTTAATGAGGTGTATGTGTGTCCCAAGACAATTCTTCCAGTGTGGCCTAGGGAAGCCAAGAGATTGTACACCCCTGATTTAGACCATGTATGATATGTAGCTTTACTTAAATCCGTATGTATACATTGACATGTTGTAAACATTTGAAAGAAAGTATTACCATCATATCTATGTCAGAGTATCATATCTATTTCCTCATATTGAAAAAAGACAATTGATTAGAAGACCCTTTCATAATGAAGTAAATATATAGTGTTATTTTGCCAACATCAGGTGGCCTAAAGCAATGACCTAAAACTTTGATTTATTTGCATTTGCTCCTGGTTTTCCTGAAGGAATGATCATTTATTATTAGCTGGCCAGCATGATGCTTTGACCTTTGAAGTTAGGTAAGGGGCTAATAGAAGGCCTTCCAGGCTTGTTCACTTTTCACTCGGAGATCTGTTGGGCTGTATATGTAACCATCTGCCTTCCCCCTACAGAAAATCTGCAGCTATGCCTAGGGGAGTTTCTACCCAGACTTCTAGATCCTTCTGCAGAAATCATCGTCTTGAAGGAGCCTCCAACCATTCGACCCAATTCTCCCTATGACCTGTGTAGCCGATTTGCAGCTGTCATGGAGTCAATTCAAGGAGTTTCAACTGTGACAGTGAAATAAGCTCCCACGTGTTCCAAGGCCCATTCTGGTTTCTGGCTGCCTGCCCCCTGCACAGAAGTCTGTTGTCACAGTGCTCACCTTGGGAAAAGGATTAGGTGGGCACGTAAGATTCCAATTCAGACCCCAACCATGCTGGGTGTGTAAAGAAGGATTGAAAATAAAATTGCACTTTTTAGGTACAAAATCATAAAAGCTATTTCACTAGAAAAGGTGGAAACCAGTGTATTAAGGTGTTGAATTATGCCAGAAGACCTGAAATGCCTTGTACCTACAATAATGCTTAGCCTTGCCACTTTTAAAACTATCCTTCAGGCATAAATATTTTTGACAGCAGAATAGAATGATTCATGAGAACCTGAACTAGATGAACAGCTACTAGTTATTTTATCAAATACAGACAACATTTAAAAATTCTTCACTACAAGAGATTAGAAATATAAACCTTGCCTGGCTCTTGACAGGAGATGACAGATGGGTTGCTGATGAACGCTTTTACATGTGGGTAGAATGTAAGGTCACATGGCAGTAAGATGTTGAAAAGTCAAGAGACCTGTCTCTCTCCTTTCTTTTCTATCTTTAAATAAACCAGAAAACCTCATACCCAGTCCTCAGTGAAAGAAACAAAACCATTAAGGACTTCAGACAGAACAGCATTTTGTAACTTGACTAAAGATCATGCGTTAATAGTTGTTAGGCATTTAGGTAAAATTTTCTAATATCTGAAAATTGTCAGAAACAGTTAAGGCTGCTCCTGGCTCCAAAGACCATTTTGGTCTGCCTCCTCTTTTTTTTTTTTTTTTTTTTTTTTTTTCCCCTGAGATAGTCTCATTGTGTTGCCCAGGCTAGAGTACAGTGGCATGATCTCAGCTCACTGCAAACTCTGCCTCCTGGGCTCAAGTGTTTCTGGTGACACAGCCTCCCAAGTAGCTGGGATTACAGGCATGCGCCACGACTAGCTAATTTTTGTATTTTTAGTAGAGACGGGGTTTCACCATGTTGGCCAGATTGATCTCGAACTCCTGGCCTCAAGTGATCTGCCTGCTTCAGCCTCCCAAAGTGGTGGGCTTATAGGCAAGCCACCACACCCAGCATTCTTTTTTACCCTTACTTGTAATTTGTAAAAATGGAAAAAAAGAAAGAAAAAAAGAAAAAAATATAAAGCGAAAGAAAGAAAGCACCATACATACGTAAAACTATATATATGTATATGTAGAGAAAAATATTTCCCGTTAATCATTTTTAAAAGACTTCTGATTGGATATTGTATTTTAACCAAATTTTAAAGAGTAATGGAGGAATCATGAAAGGGAAAAACACTTGATACAACTATGCAGATTTTATAAATGTGCAATAAAAGTATTTGTTTTATGTTTGGTGTGCAGTATGGTCCTTATTTAAATATATATTTTCCATTTGGGAAATGGATGTACTTGCATTTGTCTTGTTCTAATTTTTCTTCTTTAAAACCAAAAAAGCAGATTAAAGCGTTGATAAGCTTGGCGGGGACTGGACTGCCAGTATTTAAAATAAAAGGCAACAGTCAATTCTTGAGCAGCACCTAGTACCTTCTCATCTCATTGGCTATTTGCATTGCATGTAAGCTTATCTACTTTGTAATTTGTCAAATTTTAGAATGCAAAAACAATTTTCTTAAAATGGAGTTTCTCATAAAGTCATCCCTCAGCAGACACTGGCAGTTGCTTCCAAGATTGTGCATACCAAAACCCTTGCATACTCAAATTCTGCAGTAGGCCTTGCAGGACCTATGCATAGGAGAAGTTGACCCTCCATATGCTTGGGTTTTCATATCCTGTGAATACTCTGTTTTCAATCTGCATTTGGTTGAAAAAAATCCTCGCATAAGGGGACTCATGCAGTTCAAACCTGTGTTTTTCAAAGTTCAGACTTTTGATTAATAGTGGGTCATGTTTTACAGATGCTCGGAGGTGCTTTAGTGTTTTCAAACTCATTGCAAAGATTTGTTTCATGGGAAGTTGATCCACTTTCTTACCCACTGATGACCTTTTACTGTTCAGCATTCTATGTATCACCATTTGCCTTTCACTTTTTTTTTTTAAGCCTACAGCACCCGGTATTCTGCCTTTCACTTTTTAATCCCCTGTCAATATTGAGTCCTGTATGCAGTGCTCCAATTATATTATTTTACTTAACACTGTTTTACTTAACCCTGGGATGATGATAGGGGGCATGGATTATCCAAGGTCGTCCTTGGTGTGTCTGACTTCATAGCCTGTGCTTTTAACAGCTGCTCAACTCTCCTTGGTAGTCGTGTAAAATATTTTGTTTTGTGCTTCCTTTATAGAAGTTATTTCCTGGTCAGCTTTGGGAATCCACAGTTGGCCAAGAAAGGAACTTACGGACATCTGGAGTGTGTGGTGCTGAGTAGTCTGTATCATTTGAGTCCACAAGGGGGAGTGCTGAGAACTATTAATAGTTTCTTATTCCTCACAGTAGCTGGCTGCCTTTAGGTACAACCATAGGGCTCCACAAACTAAGGTCTCAGACTGTGTTTTTTTTTTTTTTTTTTTTTTTTCTACGGCTGTCAAGCTAAAAAAAAATTTTTTTTTTTTTTTTTTGAGACAGGGTCTCACTCTGTCTCCCAGCCTGTAGTGTAGTGGCACGATTCCAGCTCACTGCAACCTCTGCCTCCTGGGCTCAAAGGATCCTTCCACCTCACCTACAAAATAACTAAGACCACAGGTGTGTGCCATCACGCCCTGCTAAATTTTGTATTTTTAGTAGAGATGGGATTTTGCTGTGTTGCCCAGGCTGGTCTCAAACTCCTGGGCTCAAGTGATCCGCCTGCCTTGGGCTCCCAAAGTGCTGGGATTCTAGACATGAGCCACTGTGCCTGGCCAGTTTTTTACCTTTTTAAAGTGTTAAGAAGAACAAGGATATGAGTAAGAAGCCTATGTGACCTTTGCCCAAAATGATTTAAGAGTTTGAGCAGGATACTTCACCTCAGCATAAAGTCTCTTGAGACTGGATTTAGATTAATGTAACTGGAATTGCAATCATCTTGTTTGGATTTGTTAGCTCCTTTAAGAACTAGCAGGCATATTAACTCATTTTTACTCTATCTGCTTCAACAACATATGAGATAGATAACATACGACAAAACAATTTAATGAATGAGAGACAAGGATCAAGTGGAGTGCTGGGGGCGTAGCACTGGTAGGATAGAAGGGGGAATTAATTGTGCCAGAAGTCATGTCCTTGCTCTTTTTGTTGTATTTCATTGTATGACCATATTCACCATGTATTGTCCTTTGAGTTTTCCATTTTTGGCTGTTAATGCACGATGCTACTAAGAATACTCATTGAACATGTCTTTTGATGCACACATGAATGCATTTCTGTTGGTGTATAACTAGAAGTAAAACTACCGGGTCATATAACTAAAGTGGTTATACCAGTTTGATCCCACCATCAGTTTATGAGTTCCAGTTGCTCCATATGCTTGTCAGCATTTGATTTTGTTGGTTTTAATTGTATCTATTCAGGAAAGTGTGCAGTGATCTTGTGATTTCAATTTGCACTTCTCTACGTACTAACAACACTGAGCATCTGTATATGCTTAATGGCCTTTGGTCATTGTTTTTTATAAAATACCTCTTTCTGTCTTTTATTTTTGTTGTTGGATTTTTTGTCTCTAACCTATTGATTTGTAGTTCTTTATGTCTTCTAGTTATGGAGCCCTATTGGTTATATGTATTGCATGTATCTTTTACTCCATGGCTTTTCACTCTTGGTGTCTTGAAGAAAATAAGTTTTTGATATTAATATGGTCAAATTTATTCATCCTTTCTTTCATGGTTAGTGTATATCATGTCCTCTTGAGGAAGTTATTACCCAAGGTCATAAAGATATTCTATTACCTTCCAGAAGTTTCACCTTTGATAGTTGATTGACCAAGCCCTGTTTATTGAAGACATCATCCATTTTCCAGTGCCGTGCACTGCTACTTTTGTCATAAATCAGGTGTGTTCACGGGGGGTCTGTTTCTGGAGTCTTTTACCTGTCCCATTATCCTATTTGTCTGCTTGTACCAATATCACACTTTCTTTTTTTTTTTTTTTTTTTTTTTTTGAGACGGAGTTTCGCTCTTGTTACCCAGGCTGGAGTGCAATGGCACCATCTCGGCTCACCGCAACCTCCGCCTCCTGGGTTCAGGCAATTCTCCTGCCTCAGCCTCCTGAGTAGCTGGGATTACAGGCACGGGCCACCACGCCCAGCTAATTTTTTGTATTTTTAGTAGAAACGGGGTTTCACCATGTTGACCAGGTTGGTCTCGATCTCTCGACCTTGTGATCCACCCGCCTCGGCCTCCCAAAGTGCTGGGATTACAGGCTTGAGCCACCGCGCCCGGCTCATGAGCCACCGCGCCCGGCTCTCACACTTTCTTAATTAGTGTAGCTTTGTAACAAGTCTTTATTTCTTGATTTCTGGTGAAACAACTTCCCTCCAGTTTTGTACTTCAAGATAGTCTTGGCTGTTCATTTTTTGTTTATTCGTTTGAACAGGGTCTCGCTGTCACCCAGGCTGGAATGCACTGGTGTGATCATGGCTCACTGCAGCCCCAACCTCCCAGGTTCAAGTGATCCCACCTCAGCCTCTTGAGTAGCTGGAACTACAGTCGCTTGCCACAACACCTGGCTAATTTTTGTATTTTTTGTAGAGATGGGCATCTCACTATGCTGCCCAGGCTAGTCTTGAACTCCTGGGCTCAAGCGATCCTCCCAGCTAGGCCTCCCAAAGTGCTAGGATTACAGGCATGAGCCACTTAGCCTGGCCTCTTTGCTATTGATCCTTTGCATTTTGGTATAAATTTTAGGATCGATTTGTTAGTTTCACACATGAAGGCAAAAATCTCCAGGGATTTTTGATTGGGTTTACAATGACTAGAGATAATTTGGTAAAAACTGACATCTGCATGGTATATCTAATTTTTTTAAGATTTTTCTTAATTTTTTTTTTTTTTTTTTTTTTGAGACGGAGTTTCACTCTTGTTACCCAGGCTGGAGTGCAATGGCACGATCTCGGCTCACCGCAACCTCTGCCTCCTGGGTTCAAGCAATTCTCCTGCCTCAGCCTCCTGAGTAGCTGGGATTACAGGCACGTGCCACCATGCCCAGCTAATTTTTTGTATTTTTAGTAGAGACGGGGTTTCACCATTTTGACCAGGATGGTCTCGATCTCTCGACCTCGTGATCCACCCACCTCGGCCTCCCAAAGTGCTGTGATTACAGGCTTGAGCCACCGCGCCCGGTCTATTTTTCTTAATTTTTATATAAAGATCTTCCACATCTTCCAAAAGATTTATTCCTGGGTTTTTGAAGTTTTGACATTCCTGGCAAATCTCATTTTTCAAATTGCATTTTTGTTTCTTCTCATATCTAGAAGTGAATTGATGTTTAATTCTAAGTTTATAGACTTCAGAAGATTTTTTATATGCATAATTATGTAATCTGTGAAATGCCGATTTTTATTTGAAATGTTTACTCTTTTTTTTTTTTTTTTTTGAGATGGAGTTTCGCTTTTGTTGCCCAGGCTGGAGTGCAATGGCGCCATCTTTGCTCACCGCAACCTCTGCCTCCCAGGTTGAAGCAATTCTCTTGCCTCAGCCTCCCTAGTGGCTGGGATTACGGCATGTACCACCATGCCCAGCTAATTTTGTATTTTTTAGTAGAGACAGGGATTCTCCATGTTGGTCAGGCTGGTCCCGAATTCATGACCTCTGGTGATCCGCCCACTTCGGCCTCCCAAAGTGCTAAGATTACAGGCATGAGCCACCATGCCCAGCCCTTACAATTTTTATTTATTTTCCTTGCCCGATTATACTTTCTATAATCTTTGGTGCAATGCTGAATATATAGACAATGAAAAGTGGGCATCTTTGTCCCCTAATATCTGGTGGGGGAGGGTTCAATATTTTACCATTAAGTATGCTGTAGGTTTGTTGTAAATTCTATTTATTAGGTAGAAAAAAAGATTCCTTCTGTTACTAGTTTGCTGAGATTTTTTTAAGCTTGAATTTTTTTTTTTTTTTGAGATGGAGTTTGGCTCTTGTTGCCCAGGTTGGAGTGCAGTGGTGTGATCTCAGTTCATTACAACCTCCACCTCCTGGGTTCAAGCGATTCTCCTGTCTCAGTTTACCAAGTAGCTAGTATTACAGGCATCTGCCACCATGCCCGGCTAATTTTTTATGTTTTTAGTAGACACAGGGTTTCACCATGTTGGCCAGGCTTCTCTTGAACTCCTGACCTCAGGTGATCTGCCCGCCTTGGCCTCCCAAAGTGCTGGGATTACAGGCGTCAGCCCCTGCACCTGGCCTAATCTTGAATTTT